TGTCTTTGGAGGAACATCTGACGGCTGTTACCAGGGGGACCTTTTATCAGGTTCGCCTGATTCGCCAGTTGCGGCCCTTTCTCAATCGGGATTCCTTGTGCACAGTCACTCACGCCCTCGTCACCTCTCGCCTTGACTACTGCAATGCTCTCTACATGGGGCTCCCCTTGAAGGGCACCCGGAGGCTCCAGCTGGTCCAGAACGCAGCAGCGTGGGTAGTGATGGGAGCAACATGGCGCTCCCATGTAACACCGCTCCTGCGCGAGCTGCACTGGCTCCCGGTGGTATTCCGGGTGCGCTTCAAGGTGTTGGTTATCACCTTTAAAGCGCTCCATGGCATAGGGCCTAGCTATCTGCGAGACCGCCTGCTGCTACCGACGACCTCCCATCGACCCGTGCGCTCCCACAGAGAGGGCCTCCTCAGGGTGCCATCAGCCAAACAATGTAGGCTGGTGACCCTCAGGGGGAGGGCCTTCTCGGTGGGGGCTCCCACCCTCTGGAATCAGTTGCCCCCGGAGATAAGGAGAATCCATGACCTCAATGCCTTCCGTCGCTCCCTTAAAACCCATCTTTTCCAGCAAGCCGGGTTGGCTTAAGAAATTTTTAAATTCTTTTAATCAGTCTGTGATTTCTTAACTTTCGGGCCAAAATTTATATATATTTTTAAATGTTTTTTAATATTTGTATTCTATGTTTTTTATCTTGGCTGTACACCGTCCTGAGTCCTCAGGAGAAGGGCGGTATATAAATTGGAAATTAAATTAAATTAAATTAAATTGTGGGAGCATTAGCTTGGTTCCACCCATCCTTTTTAGAGCTGCTGCAGCAAAATGATTGTTACGGAAGTATTTAGCAATTTCAACAACATTAGTCTTTATTTCTGGAACACTTAAGTCTTTGGCTAAGAGGTGCAGCAAATGAGTACTGCAACCATAGGTTATTAGCTTTGTATTCCCTTCCTGCTCTTCTAAATTTCTTCTCATCTTGGATACATTTGCAGCATTGTCTGTGACCAAACTGCGTACTAGACATTTGAATTTTTGTTCACATGTTATTATAGCTTTTACTGCCACTTCTTGTAAGTATTCTGCTGTGTGTGCATTTCCTGACGTATCAATTGTTTGTGCAAGGAAGACTTTCCCTTCTTCTGTTGTTATACAAGCACATAAAATAGGATCATTGTGGACATTACTCCACCCATCAATACTTAGGTTAACAATTCTACCCTCCAGAGCTGTTGCACATTGCTCCATTTCTCTGTCATACACTTTATCCAGCAGTTCCCCTGCAACATCTGCTCTGCTGGGTGGACTGTATCCTGGTCTCAGTGACTGAACCATATTAATGAAATGTGGGTTCTCGGTCAGACGGAAAAAAGAGTTCGTTGTATAAACAAACTGGGCAATTTTTTCATCAATTAACTCTTTTTCTAATCTGCTAGTTTTTATCACAAACTTATCTATGGTGGTTCCAGGAGGGAAGGGTTTTTTCTTTCTTTTAGGTGATAGTGATATGTGGCTGTGGGTGTCTGATGATGATGCTGCTAATGAAGCACTATCCTGGATGGATAACACTGAAATTCTAGAAAAGGAGGATGGTGATCTTGAAGGTGGATAGTTTCCAGAATCCATGAATTCCCCTAAACAAAAAAGTCAATGCTGTTATTTTATTGTTTATACAATTTCTGCTTATTGTACACAGCACTGCCCCAAAAGGAATATATGCTTTTCTTCATAACTGTACCAAATGACAATAACATTCAGTAATAATAAGAAATATAATTTTGCTCAAACATGACAGTTCAAGGCAGTCTTTAGAAATATGATTCAATAAAAATGTTTACCAACTTGAAGATCCTGCCTGTTCAAATGTGTTTCTTTGGTCATCTTTATCACAGCACTTCTCATGTTGTTGCCTCATTTGGGCCACCAGGCCTTGTATTTCTTTGTTGCAGTGTTTGCAGTTTGCACGCATGCCTGCCTTACCGATAGGTAAAGGAACTTCATTAAAATATTGCCAAACTGGGTCTCTTTTACGGACTGCTGCCATTATAGGTTTTCTCCTCCAAGGAAAGAATGTTATAAACCTCAGGTCATACACACAAAAAGATCCAAAGACTTGTCTGTCTGTGGCTGTGCAGTATTGTGCTCAGAAAGTTTCACTTTTATTTTGTACTGCTTGTCTGCTTGCCCCTTCCTCCTCACGCTTAGTTTCACTTTCTTCTTGTGCAGATCTATTCCACTCCAAACAATCAGAAAAACATTGTTTCTATTCTATTCACTGAACTTCTTGAAACTTAGCACTGAAGGAGTTGATTCTGTATTCATAGGTTTGTAGAACAATAGGATTAAGGTCTTTTTCTCAACCATGTTATAACATTTTTTGTGTGAAGAAGAGGCATGTGATCTCTGCTGAGTCAAATTCAGTTTTGAGAACTGCAAAAGTAAACCAAGCATCTATGATAATATCTTGTAGGCAGAGAAACTGCCCAATAATCTTACAAAAACCTCTGGAAGAGCATGATCTTGTGAATGGATTAATGGGATTTATTTACCAAAAAAATTAAACATATACAGCCTTATTCTACATAAATAAAAAACTAATCTTTATTTCATGATGGAATAACCTTTGGATGGTAATATATTTTCCTCAAAAATCATTTTATTTTAAAAAATCCTATTTAAATCAAAAAAATCCGATTTAAATTTTTAAAAAATCTGATTTTTTTGATTTTTTTAAAAAAAATCATTGATTTTTATCCACCCTGATTCCATTCCATGATTGGCCTATAAAGTTCTTTATACTCTCTAAGCTTGATTCTTTGCTTACATAGATTATGTATAATGCTTACAGTGGATAATGAAAACATCTATAAGCAAGCAACCAAACTTGGAGAGCACCAAGAATTTCACATTTATATTAATGCAAAATAATGGTGAGCTCCTCTTCACTAGAACATGGATTATCAGTATTTTTCTTTGTATTCCTTCATTGAACAGTTGTACTTAGTGAATAAATAACACCTGACTTTTCTAGACATTTTAATTGTATTTTTTGTAAATTCAACCCAAACAAGTCAGCAATAAGGGATTATAAAAATTCTAAACTATTTGTTTGGAAAGCATCCTATCTTGGATAAAACATACTAATTATGTTCTTCCCAATTTTTGCTCATTATTTTCTATTCTCTTTCAAATTTCTGCTAAATATTTTTCAGGCACATTTTAATTCCCCTATAGGTTGGGGTTTTTTTGCTTTCACTTTTACTAACTTTCCCTTAGTGTAGGAGAAAAGTAACATTCTTCAGATTTCAAAAAGAATTGCAGTCTTCATGCACATATTAAACCATCGCCCAGCTACTCCCTGAACAAATCATGTTCATGTATTAGCATATCTCCAATTTTATTATCTATATTCGCCACTTTTCCATTTTTAACATTTTTACTATGTATAATGTTACCAGTGTTTATTGTTTGTCAATTCCATTTTCCTAATCTGTTAATTTTTCTTGGTTTACATTGTAGTTTTGCTGTTCTTTGGTCTTTGATAATTTAACAAACATTTTCACAGCATTTAGGACTTTCCATTTTTTTTCTTTGAAACTAGTATTAAACGTATTAACAATTGATATAATAGAAAGCTTCAAAATTTCTTCCAGCATTCCATCGATTCACTTTCATTCCAGATCTTTTCATCACATCTGTTCCATTCTATTATAGGCTCCTTACTTAGTAACTCATTACCATTTTTTTTTAAACTTTTCATCAAAATCACATTTCTTCTGTCTCTTTGGAGTTTAATTATTTCTTGCATTCTTTGGCTACATTCATAGAAGCTATATTTTACTTTAAATACATATGCAGTATTTTTTTCTCTTCTCATTTTTGTAACATTTTTTTCTATATGCATTTATAGGCATCTTTTTCTCATAGAGAAAAAATGGTTTTTAGTGTTCTGTACCACTTTCATTCTTATCGATTATACTTTAAATTGCTCAGAATCTTTTTGAAATGTAATGCTATGTACAAACCATGACTGAATAGCAAATGTTTCTCACTAGCTTTATATTAGCATTTCTGTAGCATTTTCTTATTTGATCTTTAAGGTCCTAGGTAACTTGGGGAGTGATTTTTTTGTTTTGTTTTGTACTCTTATTTAAAATTCAGAATTCTGGCCATAAGAAATAAAATATATTGAACTATGTAAGAGGGAGAACTAGATTAGTCTACAGTGGTAAAAAAAATAGGAGTCTGGTTGTATCTAACCAGTTTTATTAAAATATATGAATTTACATTATGGCCACTGCAATAGTTGTCTGTAGGCTTCTGAGTACAGAGGTTTCCCATTTTATCCCAACTCTACTATTATACATTATAAGCTTCAAATAGAAAAGAGCCCAAATCTAGTTTTTTAAAAAAACAAAACTTCCATGAAATACATTTATATATTGAGTATATCTAAATTGTTTTCGTCCTCGCATAATATGGTAATATGAATCAGAATTTCTGTGGCTAAGCAATACAGATGTAAAATGTGATGATATGTGACCATGCTGCTTAACCACAGCAGTTCCAATAGCAGTTTACCATTGTTAAGCAAATTACCATTGGTCACTAAGTGAGGACCTTACATTACTGGGACTTCTGACTTCCTGCCAGTTCCCCATTGACTTTGTTTGTGGGAAACCTGCAGGGAAGGTCACAAATCTCAACCAGTGATTGCAGCTATCAGTTGCCCAAGTGCCAGATCATAATTTTATGACTGCAAGTTTGCTGCAATAGCTGGAACTTTTGCAGAATGGTCACAAGTATCACTCATTCAATGCTGTCGTTAGTTAGAACAGTCCCTGAAGAAGCTGTTAGCAAAGGGCCACCTGTACAGCAGTACATATTATTGATGATACGATCTCCTTTCGATTTATGTCTTTTAATAGTACATTATTGTTGTCTAACAATACTTTTTAAAATTTAGCTCTGGGTGCATATGTTTAAACTTGTTACTTGAATTTCCTGGTTGCAAATCACCATGTAAGCGTGAGAGAGGTTACACTATGAAATAGACGGTTCCCACTGAATATTTGACATTAAATGGTGATGAAAGTTGGATACTATTTACCTGAAGAATGAGTATATAAAGGGTATAGTGTTTATTAGAAAATGTTAGCCATTTGAGGTAATCAAGATCAAGATACAGACACAGCAGAGGTAACAGAATCTAACCAAAATCGAAGTAGGGTGTTTTGCCAAGTGTTAGGAAGTGGCCAGACAATTGGTGCTTTGAGGATCCAGAGATAATGAACAAAAGTAAGGAGATTTTAAACTTTATTAATAACTTTAGCAGCTAGATATTATCAGAAATATAAAAGCATAACACTTCAAACAGGATGCTCTCCCTTCAGCTGCTTGGAGCCCTCTTTTGACAGTAGCAGAGACATTCCAAAGGCCCTAGTACACAACAATGAACACTCAAGCCTATGCAGAAGGCAATTTCAGGGTTTATATTAAAAAGACTCCAGAAGGCTCTCCTTCTGTGGTCACAAGGCTGCAGGATCTGACCTTGACTGATCTGGGATGGGAACAAAAATCTGAGAACTTTCCAGATAAGGAAAGCTTTGCAGCTGTGTGAAGATTCCCCCCTCCCCCTTTCTCTTTATTCAGCAAGCAAGAGAGAAAAGCAAACAGATTAGCTGAGAATGAGATCTAAATTTCTAGAATTTTCTTAATATGAAGGAGAAAACAAAACATGTCTCTATAATCCTTAGACTACAATGGTTTTCCATATTGCCAGTCCACAGGGTTATATTAGTTTATCCTCACACTCTTCTCAGGATTCTTTTCACAAAGTCCCACTCATTCTTTTGCATTCTCAAAATTAGCTCTACATCACCTCACACTAGATTTAGTGTTTTTTTTAATACTGAAACTTGTTTTCAACTCTTGAAAGCACAGTTGGTATCTTCAAAATTAATAACCAAATAACATTTCAAAGCATGAGTGGAAAACATTTTAATAAAAACTTGTAATTGCAAAATAACTGAGATAAAATTATAGCATAAAATAAGAACTCAATTGAAGTTGTAGAACTTGCCCAGTATCCTATAAATAGAAACTCTAAGTGAAATCCTTTTAAAAATACCAAAAAGCCTTTGGAGAGTAGTCTTGTTTTGGCATTCAAGTAGTTAAATTCAAAGGACTGATCAACATTTCTGGAGAGATGAAAATAACAAAGAAGAATCTGTTAGTGTTTGCAGCAATCCAACCAGCACACAAGCAAATAATTCAGCAGGATTCATGTATAAAAGAAACTTCTTTATATACAGTAATATAAAGCATGATGCATGTATACAATACCCATGCAGTAGAAGCCAGAACCAGAACTCAGAACCCAGAAGTACAGAATCAATATAATCACAGAAGCTATATAATACAGAGGCTATATTCAAGGACAAAGCGACTCTTATATACAAATCAGTCAAGCTAAGCCACACCCGGGCTCCGAGCCATCTGGATCACCAAACAGACCCCATTGGCTGACCTGTTACCATGTCGATTCCAATTCATGAACTCTCATACACTGACAGAATCTTAACTGAAAAGGGCTTAATAGCTTTTCTTCTTTATGTATTAGAATGTAAATATGAAAAGCAGAATTACAATGGATTAATGCACTTTTAGAAGCCTTTAAGGGTCCAGGACTTTTACACACAACTTAAATTTAAAGTATCAATATGCAATATTGATCAGACTTAGTATTTGCAGTACATTTTTTCCCTGTCACAATTTATATGAATGCCAGAAACAAACTTTTACATCTTTCTTTTAGGAATACTTAAGCACATGCCTTTTTTCTCCAAAGTTTGATGCCTCCAATACAGCAAGGTTATTTAGCTCAATCTTTTTTAAAATGCATTTGAGATGCATTTTTTAAGCCAAGTCATTCTCCTTTAACTAAGTAAATATGATCATACTTTCCTCACAGCTTAGAATAAAAAATAGATTGTTATGGTAAAACATTTATAAAACTAAAGTACAAAGCAGGATATTTAAAGTAAAGTAGAATGAAGAGAAGCAACTTGATGTACAGTATCAAACATTGATGTTTTGTGAACCTTCTATATTTAGTCCCTGAATTATGTGTTACGAATTAATTACATTCCGCTGTTATACCCAAAAAATGAATGAGGCAAGAACAGATTCTTTGCTTGATGGTTTGATCTAACCATCTTAGATCAAAGCTTGGTGATCTAACGAACATGGTTTTAATATGGGCCTATCCATTTTGATCATCTAGGTGTAGTGAGGTCAGGGAGTGATTCTTTGGTAAAAGCTCAAATAGTTTTTCTTTTCATGTTAAAGGTGGAGAATATATCATTGCAATTTTCAAAGTATTCACAGCTAAATCTCCAGCTCAGCTACTTTATGATACTTGGTTAGGTCCCTATCTATAGGTCAATGGAAGTGATGCAAAGTAAATTTATCAAAGCACTTTATATGCCCAAGGATTGTATCCAATGTGATTTTATGGCTTGAGTTTAGCCAAAAAAGGTCAAGTTAAGAATTTGACCAATAGGTAGAATTCTACTATTTTCTATTTGGACAAATTCCACCCATTTTGTTGGATAAATTTCAATGTTTGTGGTCCCAAATAATCTTAATGGAGGGCCAGTTTGGTCTAGTGCCATGATGGCAAACCTATGGCACACGTGCCACAGGTGGCACGTGGAGCCATATCGGTGGGCATACAAGTGTTACCCTAGTTCAGCTCTGGCACCAGCTACCTGATTTTCTGGCCTTCCAGGCCCACCGGAAGTTAGGAAACAGGCTGTTTACGGCCTCCAGAGGGCCCCGGGAGGTGGTGGGGAAGGCCTGTTTTTCGCTCTCCCCAGGCTCCAGAGCCTTTCTAGGAGCCTGGGGAGGGTGAAAACCGCCTTCCCCACACCCCCGGAAGCCCTCCAGAAGATGGAAACGGCCTGTTTTCCGACTTCCGGTGGGACCAGAAGGCCCGTTTTTCGCTCTCTCCAGGCTCCAGAGCCTTTCTAGGAGCCTGGGGAGGGCAAAAATGGCCTTTCCCACCCCCCTGCAGGCCCTCCGGAGGCCGGAAACAGCCCGTTTCCCGACAAGTCATCAAACGGCCATTTCCGTTTGATTTCTGTTTCAGATAGGTAACCTGACTTAGTGGATCAAGGAATTAAAAGCACTTGCAGGAAATTTGTACTTTCAGACTTCCAATACTGACGTCAGCCCTCCCAGATTAACTAGATAGGAAACACTACTAGATGAACTAATTCTATTTTATTTTAAGGCTTAATGAACAGATTCTTATTCCCCATCACTTAGTGATGGTAATCTCAGCAGTCCCCATTACTGTCATTAACCAAATCCTACTAGCCATTAGGTAAGGACCCATCCCAATTCAAGTAAATCCTAGCTTGGTATCTCCCAGTCCCAAGTCTCGGTAAAATAAAGGAGTGTCTCTTGTTGAATCCCACCATCTGCCCATCTTTCCCTAATATCTCCCCTTTTGGCTGCCTGCTGATGCTAGCTGCCCCTACCACCTGGCCCTACATGCCCATTTGGGGCCTTTTGTGCCACCTTCTTTGGGGCTGATTTACAACTGTATGCCTTATACACTTTACAAGCATAGCTCAGTAATGGGAAAACCAGTCCCAGTTACTGTAGTTAACCAAGGATTATCTGTATAACTAACATTTTGTATATTAATTTAATCTTCTATTGTTAGTGCTGATTGATTAAATTCTTTTATTCTTGAACCAGAGAGCTTGATTATAGGATTTACATCCAGACATATTATTTAGATGTGCTCCATATTCTTTCCCTTATTAAAAGCAGCTTCATGTTTGTTTCTTTCATGTTTATTGCAACATTTCAAGATGCAAGGATGGGCTACCCATAATGCTCAGACTACATTGTTAGCAAGTTGTCAATGTTCATGCCAATTTCTTTTGTCTTTTTGCAATAAACAATTGAAAAACTATTTTATGCCTTAGAACTATGTCTCAGAAAGCAAAAATACATTTTTATCTTATCCTCACTAGCGTCATTCTTTCACCAAACACATACTTTGGTGTAACTTTCAACGCCTTTGGAGGCGTTGGAATCATAGCTTCCTCCCCTGTATCAAACATTACAGATTTTTTTAAAACTTAAGAAAAATCTGCTAAATTAAGCTCCCTGAATTGTCAAGGGTTCAAGATGCAGTATACATCATTAATGGGAGATATTTTTATTTTGAACTTTGCATATAATCAGACTTTCCCAGTCTTAAAGAATTACTTGCTATTAATTTAATAGTATATTTATGTTGAATATTTTGGAATTATTCTTCCTTCAGAATAGAGATTAGTGTGCAATATACATATATGTAAAAATATGTTTGAAAGTTGATAACAATACACATAGTCCTCAACTTATGACCACAATTGAGCCCAACATATCCACTGCTAAATAAAGCAGTTGTTAAGTGAATCATGCCAAGATTGTTAAGCGAATCACTGCAGTTAAGTGAATCATGTGGTTGTTAAGCAAATTGTTTCCCCCCTTTAACTTTAACTCTAACTAGTCAGAAACCAACTGGGAAGGCTGCAAATGTTGATCACATGACACCTGGATCAGTGGTGGGTTTCAAAATTTTTTACTACCAGTTCTGTGGGTATGGCTTGGTGGGTGTGGCTTGGTGGGTGTGACAGGGGAACAAACTGTAAAATCTCCATTCCCATCCCACACCAGGGGAAGGATACTGCAAAATCCCCATTTCCTCCCGATCAGCTGGGATTTGGGAGGCAGAGAATAGATGAGGGTAGGGCCAGTCAGAATTTTTACTACCAGTTCTCTGAACTATTCAAAATTTCCGCTACCGGTTCTCCAGAACTGGTCAGAACCTGCTGAAACCCACCTCTGTCCTGGATGCTGCAAACGTCGTAACTATATGCCGGTTGCCAAGCACCCAAATTTTGATCATGTGACCATGGAGATGATGCAATGATTAAAAGTGTGAGAAGTGGTCATAAGTCACTGTTTTAGTGCTGTTGTATCTTTGAATGATCACTAAACAAATGGTTGTAAGTCAAGGACTACCTGTACAATACTGTAAAATCAAGAGAGGGCAAAACAGATCCTTAACTTTCATTCCTTTATATCCTTAATAGTCTTTAAATTTCATAAATCTGGAAGCTAGCACTTCTGATTATGCATAGTTGTCTTCCCCTTGCAGCTACTGTATAACGGAAAAACTGCTAGGAAAAAAATGGCAAATGTCCATCCTGCACCTCCCAGACTTTTTTAATGAGTTTCATTGCTTAGGCCATTGCTTTGGCACAAAGTTCTTTCTGCTCCAACATTTATTGAATTTTAAATTTCTGTTTATATTAAGTTGTTTTAAATTGTAAGTTTCTCATTATATTATATTGTTTTAAGTATGTGGTTTGGTTCATTTTTGTCAATAAATAAATGAATAAGTTTTTTTTTATTTGTTTAAATAGATTCTCTTTATCTAATTTTAAGTCTTGTGTAAAGAACAAATCACATTTTTCAGTCATATTTACAGGTAGTCCCTGACTTATGACTGGTTGCTTAACAACTGTTCAAATTACCGCAGACCTCTCTAGGGGTACTTAAGGCTTAGTCCCAAAGTTCTGTCAGCTCCCTCCCCCGGCCTGCATTTTCAGCAGTTAGTAGAGTCCTGCAGTTACATGGCAGTGTTTTACAACAGTTTTTTTCCAAAAAGCAGCATTAATTCTGGTTTTCAGCAAAACCTATCTACTGTAGACCTTTGATTCACTTAATAACCATGGCATTCATTTAATGACCACTGCAAAAAATCAGGTTACATGAGTGACCCAACTTGACTGTCACGACTTATGACTATGATTGGTAGGTTCCATTATGGTTGTAAGTTGATGACTACCTGAGTGTAGAAATATTGAAAATTCATTTTACAAACTTTTAAGGACCACTGCATTTATTCTCATTTTGTACAGTTCTCCTATCATGTCCTGTCTTCTATTTACTTCCATATCTCCAATGCCTAGTACTGCTCCTGTAGAGTCAAGATATCCATCAATATCTTATCCAGCCCATTTATCCAAAATGGAAAGAAACTAGATCTATCTAATACTAGAAACAGTTGGACATACTACATTCTCCAAAACTGTGAATCCTCAGCTCTAAAATGAGTTTTAACCTGATCAAATCTACTGTGTCCAATATGAAAAATGCTAATAAACTTTGTAGTACAGAGAAGCATTTTCCGTATTTGTCCTCCTTGATAGCCACTTGCTATAGAAATTTCACTGTAGAAAAGATGGAGAAAATGCTCAAGACAAGACAAAGAATATGTTTGAGTAATATAGTGCTGAAGAACTATTTTAAAATAAATTAATTAAATACTCAGAAGCACTAATGCTGTAGATATTTAAGTCTCTTAAACAGTATAAACATCAAATGTAGATAAATAAATTATATTAGCATTAGTAATAACAGCACCAACTAGACATGTAATATTTTTCTTGTTTACTGGACTCAGATGGTCATTAAAGTAATGTACCGTTAGTTTGAATTTGCTGCTGTTTGTTCTGATTAAAGTTCCCAAGGATTTAAATGAATTATAGTTGATATAATGATACAATGTAAAATTTTTATTCCATTGTATTTTGCATTAAATTAGATTTTTTTGATAGTTTTGCTATTAGCAAAAGTATGTTGAGCTGTATTATGAGGCATATGCATCCTTAACATTACTTTTCTCTTTTAAGGAATGATAACTTGGGTGAACGTGAACGAATAAAGCCACTTCTGCAAATGTAGGGCAGAAGGCCAATGGTGCAAACAGTATGGCCCTAATGAACGGACAGACCAGTAATATTAATATTGTAGCTACTGCTTCAGAGGTAAGGAAGAAATAATGTCTTATGCAGTCAACTTAAACAATAACAGAATAAGTCCTTAATAATCATATATAATGCAGTATAGAAGGGGGGGGAATTTAAATATTATGGTATGTAGAGAATTCCTATATGCTAGAAAACTATAAGGCATATTTACAGTATAAAATATGTAAGCAAAGAACAATCCAGGTAGTCCTTGAATATGGCCGTAATTGAAACTAAAATTATGGTTGTAAATTTTGACAGTGGTTCAAAAATTAAACCATGTGACTATGCCCAGTTTTATACCTTTTTTGCAGTGGTCATTAAGTGAAATCTGTAGTTGTTAAATCCATTTTATCCAATGGGCATTTTTGTCAGTAACTGGAAATAAACACCATAAAGTGGCAAAAAATGCCCAAAATCATGGACAAATGACATGAAGCGCTACAAACAGCCATAAACATGAACTGGTTTTGCCAAACGCCAAAAATTCATTCATGCGACCATAGGAGGAGTATAGCGACCAGAACTCCAGAACCAGATCATAAGTATGTTTTGGCAGGTCCATTGTAACTTGAAATAGTTGCCAGGCAACCAGTTGTTAACCAAGGATTACCTATATGGACATCTTTGTTTTGTTTTTAAGATGATTATACAGTACTGTTCTTTGCAACTAAGAGAGCCATGTCTTCTGACTGTACCTCTTGTTATTTCACTGATTAGATTTAATATAATAAAATGAAAATTACATAACTGAAAATATTGTTTGATCCCATTTGAAACATTATTTTATTTTGAAATATTCAGAGTTACCTACTAGAAGTTATCAGATAGCATTTGACAATTTAGGTGAATAATTTGCCCATTGATAATCAAAAATAGTAAAAATGTGACACAATAGTCACTAATAGGAAAACTATCTCAACAATCAAGAGACAGTGATTGTATCAATAATATGTCTGCATGTTAATGGTTTTTACCAAAAAGGAGTGTTGTTATTGATTTGATTCTTTGTGCAAGTTGAATTTGCAATTTATGTGAAGGGAAAGAGAGGAGAGAAGAGCATGGCTCTTTTATAACAAGGATCCCCAGCCCCCGGGCTGCAGCTTACTACCAGGCCATGGCCTGGGCGAACATCCAAGCAAGAACACACAGCTCCATTTGGCATGCGTGCCTGCCACTCGCACAAATGGATGGAGCTGCACACACACGCTCACCCACCATTTATGCAGAACTATCCCCTTTCCCCACCCCCACCCCGCCGGTCCGCAAAGCCAGAATAGTTGGGACTGCTGTTTTGTAAGACTTGTATAATATGTTTTGATTAGCTTGATAAAAGAATTAGAGATTTCAAAAGGTTTTTACTAGTTTAATTCCACTAATTTGATTTTTAGTATTGCATTTTACATTTCTGTACATTCAGTAGAATTCAGTTCTACCTTCAAGACGGCATCTATAGCATTTCTTTAACAATTTATTAAATTTATATGCTGCCCAACTTTTAATTACTCTTGGAGGCTCACAGAAATTATAATACCAATAAAAGATAAAAGATGGCAAGAATGACAAACCAGATAGAATAAAGCAAGAAGTCTCTCTCTCTACTTTGCCTAAGGCCTGGGTGAAGAGCTAGGTCTTCACATCTCTTCTAAACAACAGCAGAATAGGGGCCATCCAAACTTTGGTGGGAACATTATTCTAGAATAATACAGGTGCTTCTATAGAGATGATGCACTTCCAAAGTCCCAATAGATAATTCAAACAAATCCAGAACATATCAATCCTACAAGATCAAATCAGCTGAGCAATATTATGGGTGATGGGCAGTTCCTCAAGTATAGGTAATCCTCAAGTTACAACTGTAATGCAGTCTGCCCATTGGGGTTGGAAGTTGGGACAGCATTAAATGAACTGCCTCAAGTAACTACCAGCCATCTCTGCTCTCTCCAGTGCATTTGTTAAATGAATGCACAGATTGTTCAATGGAGCTCAGGGATGGGGGAGATCCTGGGAGGACTTAAAGGCTAGACTGTAGATTGCCTCTAGAGCAGTGGTTCTCAACCTTCCTAATGCCGCGACCCATTAATACAGTTCCTCATGTTGTGGTGACCCCCAACCAGGGGGGTCTGTGGGCGTGGCTTATTTTATAGGCGTGGCTTGGAGGTCATGTGACTGGGTGGGCATGGCTAGCTGGTCATGTGACCTGGTGGGCATGGCTATGTGTATAGAGACTACTCAGAGGGCTGAAAAAAGTCATTTCTAACAGATCCTCGCACTTTTGACTGGTCCTCACACTTATGACCATCTTCACATTTATGCCCGTGCAGCATTCTTAACAACTGTGTCACTCATTTCACAACTGCTTCTCTTCACCATGGTGACAAGCTAGGGCAAAAACGTAAAATGTGAGGACAGTCGTAAGTTCGAGGACTGGTCAAAAGTGCGAGGACCAGTCAGAAATAATTTTTTCAGCCCTCTGAGTAGTCCATATGCATAAAAGGATACAGCAATAGAGAGGGATGAAGGAAGGGAAGGGAAATTAGAGTAGGAGGGAGGGTAAGAGAGGGAGGAAGAGAGGAGGAGAAGGAGAAAGGAAGAGGAAGTAGGGAGGAGAAGAAGAGGGGGAGGAAGAGAAAGTAAGAAGGGAAGAAAAGAGAGAGGTGGTAGGTTTGAGGAGAAAGATTGCTGTACAATAAAAAAGATGAAAGGGAAGAAAGCCAACCCCCCCCAAAATATAAAGATATTAAGATAAAGAATGAATTGTTAAACTTTAAAGAATAAAAGAGAACAAATATGAATAAATAAACACACACACATACAAACATACAATGTATTTTCTTTGAACAGGGTATTTGGCCGGTTCACAAATTTAAACAGTGTTTAGTCATTTCAATTAAATTTACAATTTCTATATTTCCTTTTTGCCATATTTATTCCTCATCTATTTTTGTAAAAAACCAATATTACCCTTCATCCTCATCTCTAATGTTAATCAAATTCAATTTTTCCCTTCTATTCTATATTATACCCCTTCCCATTGTCATCTATTTTTATATCCATCCTCACATTGGTTAATTATGTAATATTACAGTTGTTTAATATAAATTCAACATTTTAATATAAATCAATTAGTTATATAACTACCTTTTTTGTATATTAATCAATATGAACATGAATATTCCAATTATTTCCATGCAATCCAATTTCTTACAAATCAATTAATTATATTTACCAATAATAATAAACCAAATAATTTCCCCCATATATTCCTCCGAACCACAACTTAACCATTTCTGCTTTCAGAAATATACAATTAATACTATCTCAATTATTACAATTCCCTAGTTAAATAGAGCTTTTTTTCTTTTGTGTTTTAAAATCTTGAACTCTCCTCTTTTTCCCTAAATTTCCCATTGTTTGCACCTACCTTTTTTGGTGAGGAAAAAGAAAAGAAATCTGCCTGCCTAATTTTCCAACCTTGCAGCAACAGCAAAGCAGTTTCAGTTTCGTTTTTCAGCATAGCTAGGGGAAAAAAATCTGCTCCAGGACTCTTTGCAAGGAAGCAGCAGAGCCCTGAGCAAAACAGCTGAGACAAATCATCTGAGAGTTGGGAGCCAATCTAATCAAGGGCTAATTAGCCTATGCTGAAGCTCCGTGGGCCAATAAAATTACAAAAAAATACCGAACCATTTGTTAAATTGCTGGCTCGCCCGCCCCTCGCCCACCACTATTTATTGGCAATAAATAGTGGTGCGGAGGGGCGGGGCAAGCCAGCAATTTAACAAACGGTTCCGGCAGAATCCCACCACTGGCTATAGGGCGGCCCTTTGAAGCCCCGCGGCAAGAATTTAAACAGTTTTTTTTCCTCTACCCATCAGCTGGGACTCAGGAGGCAGCAATAGATTGGGGGTGGGCGGGGTAAGCGAACAGCCGGCGATCCAACAGAGCAGAGAGTGAGGGTGAGTGAAGGCGTGGGGGGGCGAGAGAGGGCTTTGGCGACCCCTGTGAAATGGCCGTTCGACCCCCAAAGGAGTCGCGACCCCCAGGTTGAGAACCGCTGCTCTAGAGGCAGTTAGACAGATAGCTAAAGTTTGCAAAGACCCAGTATTCTCTATTTTGTTGCACTAGTTAGCTTACTTTTGGAGATGATTTTTTTTCTCCAGTTCAAGAGAAAAAGCTGCAGAAAAATTTTCTTTCCTTGCTTGCTTTGTTTCTCTACTCTTCAGTTGGAGTCCAGGTAAATTTTTTTAAAGGGGCAGAGATTGGAAAGCAGAGGCAGAGTCTTTATTTTTAGCACCTAAATGGGGAGGGGAGATCAGCAAATCTGTCCCTCCCAGCTTCTTTTGTTTCATTTTGTTTATTGAAAAAAATGGCTTTCTGGGGAGGGGGGGGTTAAGTAAGAGAAATATTTGGGGAAGCTCATCCTAAATCTGCCGCTTTTTATTCAGGGGCTGGCTTCCCAAGTCCTAGCAAGAGGCAGGAGAGCTTTGCAGCCTCCCAATGGCCAGCTGATTGGTGCAGAAAACTCTAAAAGTAGCTGCCATTTCCACCAAGGAATTCTCAGGGCTCTGAAAATGGCAGTTGCTTCCAGGAGGCATAGAAAGCAGGCCCGAGCACTGTGAGTCCCCTCAGGGTGGGATGGGGGAAGTGACGTGATGTGTTGCAGCAAGTGGCTTAATATGAATGACTGGGGGGATTGCAGCTGTCATAACTTTGAAACAGGTCATGTGTAGTTTTGGGTGCGTAACTTTGAACCCCTATTTAAGTGGTCTGTCGTTTCTTGAGGATTACCTGTAACTAGGTTCTATGCCATGTAGGAGTTTATAGGTGATGACCAACTCTTGAATCACAACTTGAAAGAAACTGGCAACCAATGCAGCTCATGAAACAGAGCTGTTATACGAGCACACCAAGGCATGCCCATCACTAACATTGCCACATTCTGAACTAGTTGAAGCTTCCAGATGGTCTTCAAGGATTTCCCCCTTATATAATACATCACATAGTCAAGCCATAACTTAACAGGGGCATGAGTGACTATCTGAAGGATCCCTGGATTTAGTGCACAGATTGAATTGTATGGAGTCCTTCATGACCACAGCTGACTTCTGCATGCTCTTTAAGCAGGAACTGTTCCTCCCCATCCAAACTTACACAACTTCCAGGCACTGGGACCAAACCTTGACAATCTCAAATGGCTGGCCTGAGGTCAAAGATTTAATTGGGTATCATTTATTTTTCCAGTGTTATGTTCATATCAAATATGGTGTGAAATAGAATAGTGACTGACCCAAAGCTATCAAGTTAGTTTATCTAGCTTAATGTGAACTTGAATCTAGGTCTCTGATCTTTGCCTAGCACTTTAGTCTATACGTGTAGTGGTTCTTAATATCTCTTTCGGGGACAAAAGTTAACAAATTGCTAGGCAATTTTTAATTTGCCACTGAATAGATACAATAATATGCAAGTAATCTCTCCTAAAAACCACTTAGGAACTCCTTTAAAAACATTTTTGTACTGAAATAACTTATTTCTTCTTGGACAGAAGAGTAGCAGCTCAGAATCATTGAGTGATAAAGGTTCTACTGAATTGAAGAAAAGTTTTGATGCAGTAGTTTTTGATGTTCTGAAAGTTACACCTGAGGAATATGCAGTAAGTAATTAACTAATGTTCCTAATTTAATAATCCTTTTGCCCTACTTTTAGCAAATTGTAACATATTGGTTTCTTCAAGAGAGTTAAAAGAGGGTTTGGGGTACTCTGTATCAGAGGAATGAAGAATCATACAGAAGTCTCCTATACACTGCATTAAGAGAAACTGTTAGTAATACTTTATATGGGAAGATAATTTTCTCTCTTTATCAGTGCTGTCCTCTATCACAATTGACTATTAGGTAGAATTAAAATTAATATAGACTTTCAAATCAAAACTAAAACTATTTTTATTAACTACTTTAAGGATACCAACATTACTATATACACCCCCCTTTTTTAAAAAAAAGAAAATGACTTGTATCCAGATTTACATAGGCAGAATGTACACCATTCTTCTCCAAAAGTATTTTTGAGATTCAAAGAGCATTCTGAATGGAATGGGAAATTCTTTTATGTTAGCCTGGATGCTAACAATTTTTGTATAGTTTCTGCTGTGTTGAGAATTGAGTAAAATATATTCCTAATTCTCAATCTCTACCATTTCAATTGGTCTTGTGCATTATTTATAGCATTGTATTTAAATAATGTTATATTTTTACCTTGGCGGAAAAAAAATAAATAATTTGTGGCTTTTAGGGTTTGTTTTTTGAACTACAAATCAAGCTTCCTTTTTTAAGATTTAAAATATTGCAGGAAAATTACTGTGAGAATTCTCTCTTATATGCATGTGAGAATTTAATTTCTTCAGCTTAGAATTTTGTGGCCGAAATCAGATATACTTCAAAATAGTAAATACATTCATAATTGCTTCCATTTATTTATGAACACTGCAGTCCATAGTGATTTCTTAGTGAGCAATGTCTAAAGCATTCAGAACACAGGGTAAGTGTCATAAACAGGAGCTCAGTTTGAGCTTCTATGGTAGTTACCTACAAATAAAAGAATATTTACCAAAGGGAACTGTTTGTGATCAGATTCATTTACTTGGGGTGAAGCCCATCACAATTCCATTCTTAGAGGGATTATTCTGCAAAACTAATTCCTCACAGAAAGTGACTATCCTGTAAAATTGAAAAAGAAAATGCCAAGTGAAAATACAAATATTGTTTTGAAATAAATTAATATATTAATGGGGAGTTGGTTTGATGTAGTAATTAAGATGCCAAGACTTCTAAGATAAGAACAAAATCCTCTCTGTGTTTCTAATTTACAAGCAAACATTCCTGATTATAATATGTTAGATTTCTTTATAGTCTTAACGGGTGGTAGCAATTGAATGGAAATGAATGCAATCCACAACAAAATGTGTTCCCAATCAACTAGAATTCTTAGTACAGTAATTCTAATAGTAACTAGTATTAATAATTCTGGTTGATCACTATGGATATTGTGAAATTAAGTTATACCTTCTTTTTTGAATTGTCAGCATCTAAACTGCTTCTATTAAGGAATGCTTTCCTGAATTTTTTTTTCAGTACTGCTCTCATTTCTTCCTTACCCTAGAATGGTAATTGTAATCACTGATATATGTAAGGAAACATCATTTTGCTAGGAATTGTTCTAGCATTAAATAATCAAATGAACTGAGTTGTGAAATAAGGAACATAATTTTAATTTTCTTATAACTTTCATTTAAGGGCCAGATTACACTCATGGATATTCCTGTATTTAAAGCTATTCAACCAGAGGTGAGTATTTCATAGAAAACTTAAAATAATTTGATAGAAAACAAATTCCAGTTTTATTATTATGATTTCCATATTTCATTTACTTTTAATATATGATAGATGCATATAGAATGTACTTTCCTTTTGCTTTAATAGTTTTAATGATTGACATCTGAATGGCTAGATAAGTAAAACATAATGTAATAATTAAATGTATTTTTGCTTCTTAAATATTCTTATAGATTATATTAGGTGGGTAGGTAGTATAGTATAGAAAATATTAGCATGGCATAGTCCAGAAATTAATTTTAAATATGATTATAGCAATAATTAAAGAAAGAATAAAGAAAGAAAATAAGGATATAAAAAAAAAAAGAAATAGAGATAAATCCTCAATTTACAACCACAATTGAGCCCAACATTTATGTTGCTAAGTGAGAAATTTGGTGGGTTTTGCCCCATTTTATGATTTTCTTGACACATTTGTTAAGTAAATCAGTGCAGTTGTTAAATTAGTAAATAGTAACCTGATTGTTAAGTGAATCTGGTTTCCCCATTGACTTTGCTTCTCAGAAGGTTGCAAATAGTGATCATATGACCCTGCAATAGTCATAAATGTAAGTCAGTTGTCAAGCATCCTAATGTAAATCACATGACCATGAGGATGCTGCAACAGTCATAAGTCTGAAAAATGGTCATAAGTTACTTTTTTCAGTGTCATAACTTCAGTCACTAAGTAAACTGTTGTAAGTTGAGGACTACATGTATAAAAATGTAATAACCTCCTTCGACTCAATAAATATAAATTTGAATAACTGGTCATTTTCTCTTAAAGTACAACAGTTTATCCTATATGTCATCACTTATCTATAGACAAATTCTTAAAACATCATTCACTTCTGATTAGCAAAAGTCCACTAAAGGTTATAAGAAATAATATCTATATCTAGCCTAATCATTTTGCCATTTATTCCCAAAGCTGCAAAATCCTCAAAGTCATACTTAAAAGTATAGAAGGAAACTTAGCCAGAGAATGCCATCAAACTTGCTGTTCCCAAGGTTCTTAATATTTAAAAAGCTGTTAAAAGTCCTACTACTACCAGTTTCAGCTGTAATGCCATTCCTCACTCCTTCAGTGACATCTAGCATGCTATGTCCTTGCCAGAAATTTTACCTTCTGCATTTCAAGCACCTTTAAAGCCCTATATGGCAAGGAACCAGGTTATATGTAGACAGATGTTTTCTTTTTTGGTTGTGAGCCTGGGCAGTTATGTAAAAGTTTTAGCTAATGTAATTAGTTATTAATTAAATTAGTTATTAGTTATTAATATTCTGAAGATTGCTGTTCTTGCATCAGAAATAACTGCCCGGTTTGTGCTACCTTTTGTTCTTTCTCATAATATTATTTTACTGTTTTGTGAACTGCCCAAAGTTGCTGGAAGTCAGGCAATATAAAAAAGTTGACAAATTATTGTGGGTAACAGTAAATAATTTTTCAAGTAAACAACATTTGCTATTCTTTACAATATAAATACATGCATGTACATAACGATGTTCTCTTGTAGCATAAAAAGCATGCAGAACTCCAAAAGAATAAGATACAGTTAGAAAAAGAAATTACACAACAGAAAAAGAGAATCTAAACTTAATTTAAATCAATCCCACTCATCATACCTTTCCATACCTTTATAATCTTTGCAAACCATTTTTCTTTTACTACATCCATTCCTTGATTCATGCAGAAACATCTATTACTAAAATCACATTCTTTTCTATGTTTTATTAATTCCATTTCTCTAGTGATGTAAAAAAAAAAAGGCAAGATCACTGATAAGACTTTTATGCCAATTTTCCTAAGGGTTGATCTTAGGGAGTGATTTTAGATTGAAAGTGGATTTTATGAAGAAGGCAAATCTCATAATTTATCCAAAAAAATACATTTTAATCCAATCTTTTTCAGAATCTTTTCATATAAAATGATGTGATGTAAACTAAAGAACATAATTCTTTTAGGATTTATCTGCCACAAAGTTTGCAGTCTAGCATGTTCTTTATACTTTTGGGAGAAAAAAAATTAACATTGACAAGAGGTTTATTTTTTTAATGTAGGGTGAGAAACACTGAATATCTTAATATAAAAACAAAGGATGAGAAATTGTTTACCAATGTCGCATTTTATCCATAGCTGTTTAAATTACAACTTCAAAGACCTTCATAGCAATCACTTATTTTGCTTTATGCATATGGCAAGAAAATATATACCACCTTAATGATGCTGATTCCACTTTACAAGACACCCAGAGTTGATCTGGGCTGTTCTTGTTTTCTGAAACATGTTTCTGACATGTTTCCTGTAGCAACCCAGGTGATGACTGGGGATTGGAGGGAGCTCCAAGTAGTTTCTTTTCTTTTTCTGTGGAGTTGGAGGATTAGGTGATTTTTGACTGCTTCAGGACTATCTCTCTAACACAGCGGTCACCAACTGGTGGTCCATGGACCACTGGTGGTCCGCGAGAAAATTTTGGTGGTCTGCAAAAAAATTATTTGCATTTTTTAATATTGCACTAAATCAGGAGTCCTCAAACTACGGCCACTGGGACAGATACATGCAATGAACATTTGTGTTGCTGCATGGAGTGTCCCCCTTCGGGGTCTTTTTGTGCGGGTTGGAGGGGGGGAAGAAATTCCGACTTGGGGTCTGCTTCAGCCTCCTGATGCAGGGCTTTGGGCAAAAAGTGGAGGAAAGTGCTGCTGGTGGCAAAGAACTGGAGGGCCTTGTTCCAGTGGGACTGCATCATGGCTTGGAACTGGCTGACCATCTCAGCCCACTGAGCCTCCAGGCACCGGTATCTGGCTTTGCACTCCTACAGGTCTTTCCTCTGCTTGGAAAGTCTATGTTCATAGTCCTCAGTGAGGTGCTTCTGCTGAGCCTCCTTCTCAGTCAGATCCAATTTGAACTGAGCCAGCTGTTTTGCCAACTTTTTCTCGTGGTGGCTGCTTAGTTCCAACAACTGCTTCCTGTTGGGGCCTGGATGGGGAGGTGAGGAGTGGCTGGCAGGAGAGGGGTGAGCAGAGGCCGGCGCGGCGCCCCTCAATATAAGTGACATCAAGTTGGCCACACCCACCCAGTCACATGACCACCTGGCCACGCCCACCCAACCGGTCATTAGTCAAATGATATTAGTGGTCCGTGGGATTTAAAATTATGAATTTAGTGGTCCCTGAGGTCCGAAACGTTGGGGACCCCTGCTCTAACACACAGAGAGACAGTTTTCAGCCTCCTATTCCTGGTACCCAACATGACATTTTGCCATGTCCTCCACTCAAACCATTATAGCAATATGCAACAATGGTTTTAGCTACTGGAAGTGGCTTATAAAGTGATTATAAAATAGCTGGCATGCTTGTCTTTTTGCAATCACAATTAACATTAGTATTTTTAAACCAACCAAGCAATGGTGGTTTTGTTGTGGCTCCGTTACCTGAGCCTGTGTTATCGGCAGAAGAGGACTCCGAGAGTGAAGGAGAGGAGTTGGCAAGGCCTCCCTCTCCAGGACCCTCCTCTCTGGCAATGCCTTCGGTGTCCGCTGAAGGTCAAGAGATAGACCCGGGGCCAAGCACGTCCACGCAGCCACAGGTGGACAGTAATGAGGAAGATGAGTCTTGGCTGGATCCTCGGCAGTGTCGCAGAGACACTGCACGCAACAGAAGAAGAGGCGTGCCAGGGATTAGGCTGAGTCATTGGACCACACCCCACAAGGTATAAAAGAGGGTGTGGTGGCCGGTTCAGCTCTGTGACAAGCAAAAAACGGATATTGGACGACCTTCTTTGTATTTACTGGACTTTGTTGATTATTGTGTATTGGCTTTGTTCCCGGACGAAGGGAGAAACTCCCCCCTCGTGAGTAAAGAATACCTGGCACCCAGCCACTAAGTTGCTGCCAATTCTGATACCAGATAAACTGTTGTCGGCTGAGTACTTTAACTTGCCTGTCTGTGGGGGTGCATGTGTGAGATGGGGACAGAACAGGTTTGGAAAATTGCTGTCTGTTTATATCAACTGCTTACAATTTTTACAAACGTCAGACAAATTGATATAATATATTCTAGAAAAGTGGATTGGGAGGTTGAAGTGTTACCAACCTTATTTCCTTTTTGCATTCGATGGAGATGAAGGAATTTGTTCTTGCAGTAGGACCAGCTTGTCTATGAACCCCATCAAATGTCTTTTTTGCTCTTTCCTATTGGTCAGTTGAATAGAGAACACAAATTGATTCTTACTTTCCCTGCTTCTTTTCTTCATTCAAAGATCTGCTGAAGTAAAAATTATTGTTCCAAAATATTTGTATTAGGGGTTTTAAATAATGTCATTTGGTAATACCATTATCTGATATGCATGAACGTAACTTTGTAGATTGCTTTCTGCAATTCTCCTGATTTTTAAGAAGTTCAAGATATTGAATTGAGCCATTTTCCAAAATTAATTCAGACTATCAGGAAATAATGTAGTTCCCCATTGAAAGCTATTGATAAACAATGCAAATGATTAAAATTATTTCTTTAGAATGTTTGCTTGTTTATTCAGTTGATTTATATAGCTATTCATCTTGAGATTAATGTTAAAAAACTGAATTTATCCTTTGTGTACATCTAATATAAAATTTCGCCTATAGAAACTCACTATCAATTATTTGAGAACAGAAAGAACAATCTTGTCAGATTTACAGATACTTAAAAGTTATTATAAAATTGGATATTAAGATTTTTTGACATAAGACAAATATTTTAAAAAAACATTTTGCTAAAACATAAAAATGTTTATGTTACCATATTTTGAATTCTTGCTGATTTTGGGATCCAGTCTTCGATTTTCAAATCTAATATTGTACACAGTTGCCTTTTACCAGAATAGAAGCAGATTATTTTGTGTAATGGAATTGTAACTTTTAGGTACTATACCAGGACAATTCTAATTTGACATTCAAACTTTTCATGGATACATCTGATAACTTTCTCACATAAGATAAGTCTTGTTACATGCTCTACCCTTCAGGAGATAATAAAAATATAGGCTACTTAAAAGAGTACAGGTAATCTTCGACTTGTGCCCGCAATTGAGCCCAAAATTTCCATTGCTAACCAAGACAATTGATAAGGTGAGTTTTACCCCATTTTACAACCTTTCTTACCACAGTTGTTCAGTGAATCGTTGCAGTTATTAGCAACACGATTGTTAAGTGAATCTAGCTTCTCCATTGACTTTACTTGTCAGAAGGTTGCAAAAGGTGATAATGTGACCCTGAGATACTGAAACTGTCATAAATATATGTCAGTTGTCAAGCATCTGAATTTTGATCACGTGACAGTGGGGATGTTGCAATTGTCATAAGTGTGAAAAATGGTCAAAAGTCATTTTTTTCCTGTGCCATTACTTGAAATGATCACTAAACAAATGGTTGTAAGTCGAAGACTACCTGTAATGGTACTTCATGTTTAAGTATTGGCAGATAAACAGTTCTTCAACAAGCTTCTGTCGTCTTTCAGTGATCTTACTCTCTTCTTGCAGTTCTTCAAGATTTCCCCCCAATTCTCTCCTTATTTTATCTTGTCCTTCCTAGTTTGAAGAGTGTTTCCAGTTCTGGATTGCAGACAAACTCTAGATCATTCAGGCATTATGAATCTGGAGCACTGATCAGGTGAGCACACTGGATAACTCCCGACTCAGTGTTGCTCCAGTGATGTTTGAGGTCCTTTGAAGTTATTCATGTGTTCAGCACAAAGGAGAGCATTTTCATTATATTTCACATGAGCTAGGGTACAGACAGTCTGTGCAATAATCTGTGCTAAATTCATGAATGCTGCAGGAAAGCCAACATCATTTCAATGACATTGATAAGGGATGATTCTGCAATGGAGTCCCTACAGGTAAATACTCCAGTTTACATAATGTCTGAATGGGGCTATCTTTACACAATTAGTATGTTACTGAAAACTCCCTTTTTTTAAAATCAGAAAATCATAAGAATGAGAACACAAGGTTCATACAGAAAGCAGCAATTTGTGGCTTGTTATAATGGAATCAAACTAATAATATTGCGTATTTACTAACATAGTTTGCCTGAATACATTAGAGAATAGTACTGTATTTTTCGGGGTATAAGATGCACCTTTTTCCCCCCTAAAAGGGGGTGAAAATTTAGGTGCATTTTATACACCGAATGTAGTCCCGCCCACCCACTGGCCCCCACCCTTTGGCCTCTGCCTCACAGCAATTACCTCCTTGCAAGCAAACAACAAGAAAAAAAAGCTCCTTTCAGCTTCAGCACAGCCTAATTAGCACAAGTTGATTCGATGGGCCTCCCGACTCTCAGCTGTTTTGTGCGGGCTCTGCTGCTTGCTGCAAAGAGGTAAATTGCTGGAGCAGATTTTTTTCCCCTTGTGCTAATCAAGCTATGCTGAAAACGAAAATAAAAGTAAAGCAGGCTGTTTGCTGTTTGTTGCAACCAGGCAAAAAAGCTAAGAGGCAGAGGGAGATTTCTTTTTCTTCTTTTCCTCACCAAAAAAGGTAGGTGCGTTTTATACTCCGAAAAATACGGTACTTATTTCTGGTTCTCGTAACTTGCGAATTTTAGTGAAAATGTATACAATTAGACAAATTTAAACATTAAAAAGGATATACAAGATAGTTCAGATTTCACACTTTCATTTATATACCTATCTCAGTTTAGAATACTATTCAACAGAAATTGCAAATGAAATGCTTCTGAAGATTCAGAGATTCACACATTGCTTAAGACATAGCATTGTTCAAATTATGTTAGAATTCATAGTACTTTTACAAAACCATACTCAGAATTAACATTTATATCTAGTACATCAGCCTTATCAGGATGTGTATAAGGAAGAATATAAATAGAATTTTAAATCATGTTTTGCTTTGCAGTCTGAACACTAACGTTAAATTATTTCTTTCATTGTTTATCTAGGAACTGTCAAGCTGTGGTTGGAATAAAAAGGAAAAATATAGTTCAGCACCAAACGCAGTTGCTTTTACAAGAAGATTCAACCATGTAAGTTTTGAGACTAACTGTATACATCATAATTAAATGGTGCAATTAATAAAACCGTATGATTTTTTGTTTGTTTGTTAAAATCTTAACTTCTGTTAAAGGCAGGGATATCTATACTCTCCTCTCCCACCTCTGCCCCTTCCCTCAATGAGGTTGCATAACAAAAATAAGAGTAAACATCCCCATCTATCTGAATGAATAGAATGAATCTATGCTAATTGAATTCACAGGAGTGAAGTATTCACTCTAATGGAGTAATTTGCATCTTTTAAAGTGACTAAGTGATTTTATAATGTGAAAATTTTTGATTGATTATTTCAGTATTCACATTTTTATTAGCTCTACCACCACTTCCTTTTTGTATATATTTTAATGTAGATCTTTTGTTTTCAGGTAAGCTTTTGGGTAGTTAGAGAGATTCTTCATGCACAGACATTGAAAATAAGAGCTGAAGTCCTAAGCCACTATATCAAAACTGCTAAGGTAAGAAAATATTTTTGGAAACAGTTTTAAACTTTAAAACTCCATTTCAAAAACCTATTACAATTTTGGTTCCATTTAGTTATGATAAATTATTATTGTTAATCAGTTATAGAAATTACAACATATGTAATGATTCTTCATTATTGTTTGAAAGTTGCAGAAGTAGATTATGATATTGCTAGTGAAACTGTTCCTCTGAAACTGGCAGTACGTATGTTGAATCAATCACAAATTAATTACCTTTGTAAATAAGTGTATGTTAAAAAGTATACAAGATTTTCTGGCTCCTATCTTTTGAATAATGTATTAAAAGTTTTCATTTACTGGTTGCATGTTTCTCTTGAGCACATAGTACAAACAACAAATATTTGTTGATGAAGTCATGAACAATATTAACATTTGCTCATATCAGTCACCAAAATAATATTTTATTTTACTTGGTTTTATACTTTCATTTGCTGGAATTTTAAAATTATTTTCTATTTGCAACAATTTCAGATTTAGATATTTTTATCAGGGTTCTAATAGAAATATGTAATTTTAATTCTAGTGATATCATGTGTATTTTATCAATAGACACAGTTTGGTGGAGATGTTAAACTGGGAACCGTAGTTAAGTCAACAGATGGACTATGGCAGGCACATGCTTCTATATACTATATTTCTGTGTTAATTTTTTCCCCAGTTTCTCTGTTCTAAGTAATACTAACCTTAATTTTATATTTAAAGAAGTGTGTTGCTGATTTCTTAACCTAGTTAAAGAAGTGGTAGTTGTTCATTTTGCCCCAGGCCAAGCTAGGTTACACACAAAAATCACATTTAGATAGCTACAGAGGGACATAAAAAGAATCTAGACTTCTCCAGACCCAACACCCTCAAATGTTTTGGGAATCCTTGTGATAGAATGGGTTGCAGCAAAAAGATGAGGGGAGAGGAAGTGATTGTTGAATAATTAGTAGAGTTGCTTTCTGTTCCGCTCTCAGTGTTTCTTTTGTACTTCTTTTTCCCCTCTATCAAAAAATATATCAGCAGATTCTCTTAATCCTCAAAAGAATATTATTTATAGAACCTAAGGTCAGGCAAAGAGAGAAAGCATTTGAAAGTTTCTGCTTTGGATCCAACCTAATCTAGATTGTATAAAACAGAATAATTGTAAAGCTTTATAATTCACTTCAGTTTTAAAATTCTTTGGCAGTTTTATTTTGGCTGAATTATCGGTTATTGTTTGGTTGTATCCATTTTTTATTGCACTGCATTCTTAGAAAATTGTTCAGACGTTTATGATTTAATAGTAAATAATTACCTGATATTGAGCTTCCATTTCTATTCTTGTCTTCAGAAACTTTATGAACTAAATAATTTACATGCTCTTATGGCTGTGGTTTCTGGATTGCAAAGTGCCCCCATCTTCAGGTTGACTAAAACATGGGCGGTGAGTGAATTACATTAAATAATTGCTTTTTTATTAATAAATAACAAAACATTAATTATACAAGGAGCAGACATAGCCAGTGAATTCTACAGGTATCTTTGGTATAAAGAAACGTCTCCTTCTTATAAAATTCTTCAAAGCTTTAACAAGCTTCTTTTGTTTATTCAATATAAGAAAATTATCCAGGTCACTTTCTTGACTTGCTATTTGTTTAACCCTTTTAATTATTGCAACATTAATCAGTTTCTTTTGTATATCCACTGTGGCATCTTTTTCGTATTATTCTTGTAGCGTGTTATTTTAATTCCAATTTCAAATCAGTCTCCATTTTGTCAGGTAAAACTTATTCCACTTCCATAACATCTTTTAGATAGTCATTCTATAGAGGCAAACACTCTTAAAGTTAACTTCTAGGTTTAGTGTTTAAAAATATTCTTCAGTATATTAGAATATTTTGCTTCATCCCAAAACCAGTTTGAGTGTTCTCCTTTAATTGAAATTTTTAGTTATCTGTAGTGTCCAATTCTTAAATTACCTTACGCTTTTTTAAGGATTCAAAACAAAAATATTTTTCCATGGAAAAAAAATCTTTATAATTTATTTCAAATTAATCTGGACCCTTAATACATTTGTAACTTTGTAAAGTCAAAATTTTAATCACCCTATATTAAACATAATAATTTTTAAAGTCCTTAAGCTTGTATTTAAAAGTTTTTTTTGCTGAGGACTGAAGAAACTCACCAGGTATTGGAAAACCTGTTGATCCAAGGGTTTCTAGTGTCTGAACAGAGTTACCAAGCAGTTTGCAAAAGTGATTAGAAAAAAAAGTATGTAAATTCAAGATTCTTTGAAAGGCACCAACTGTGGTTTGAGCAAGATGGCTATTCCCTTGTCTCCCTGAGCTCTAAACTTGCCAGAAACTTCTAGCTTGCAGTCTGCTTGTGAGAAGCAACTGTCTGGAGCACTTATAGTGATCTTAAGTCCTTTCTTTGTCCAGAGAGGAGGTATCGAAGAGCCAGTCTACTTGCTGGTTTTTCATACAACTAAAGTTGTCAGTTCCATTTTTCACAGAGTCATCCTGAAGACGCCATTTCTTCCCCAGAAATCCTACAGGAAAATTACAAGTGGTACTTGTTTACTGACATGGTTAGGAACTAAAGGCTTGAAAGGTAGTGGTGCTTAGTGAATGGTTCTGCTGCTTATCTGAGGCATAATTTCAGCCTCAAATAAATACTTCATTCTTTCAAAGGCCTCTAGCACTAGATCAGGGGTGTCAAACTCACGTCGTCATAGCGTCATCACGTGATGTTTCGGGACTTTTCCCCCCTTCGCTAAACTGGATGGGGACGGCGCCAGCACATGATGCAACCGGCTCACGGGCCGCAAGTTTGACACCCCTGCACTAGATGATACCAATAGCAGTGGTGGCACAGTGATTAGAATGCAGTACTGCAGGCTAACTCTGCTGACTGTACCAACAGTTCAATCCTGACCAGCTGAAGATTGACTCAGCCGAGGTCGATAAAATGAGGACCCAGATTTTTGGGGGCAATATACTGACTCCATAAAACCACTTAGAGAGTGCTGTAAAGAATTATGAAGCAGTATATAAGTCTAATATATACTGTCTAGTATAATAGCCTATATAAGAGCCTGTAGTACAGTGGACTAAAGCACTGTTATTAACATCTACTGCTTGCAATTACTGCAAGTTCAAATCTCACCAGGCTCAAGGTTGATTCAGCCTTCCATCCTTTCAAAGGTAGGTGAAATGAGGACCCAGATTGTGCGGGCAATAAACTGACTTTGTATAAATATACAAAAAGTATGAAGGCTATTGCTTAACGCATTGTAAGCCGCCCTGAGTCTCCAGAGAAGGGCGGCATAAAAATTAAAGCAAAAAAAAATAAAAAAGTAAGGCTATTGCTATTTCTATCTAGAGGAAAACAAAACTATCTTTCTGAAAATACATTTTGAAAGATTGGAAGATTTTCTGGAAATATATGAAAAGCAGTGCAGAGGACTATAAAGAGAAGACATAATTGTTAGATAATTGTTTATTAGATAATTCATATGGCTTCCTTCCACCTTTTCTTCAGTTAGGAGTCTTCATTAGATTCTGATATATTCAGTATCTAAGGCAGTAATTTTTCCTCCTTGAACTTTGATGTTTTAGGGTCTTTGACACATTATCTAATGGCAGTTTATGATTTTTGACTTTGAAGCGTGCACTATATTTTGACTCTGTTGTGACTACTTTATTAAGAGAGAATGAATAAACATTTTTTTTAAAAAATGGATAAATTTTATATCTATTGCTACTTTTTAAATTTATTTTAAAAATCACCATCAGAATACTAGGGATTTAATATGAAGGGTAATTTGGCCTTGATGTTTGTCTTCTAACAGATTAAATGTCTGTTCTAAACGTTTTCTTGTTGGTCAATTGTAGACTTTTAAGCATCTCATTTTGTCATATAAAATAACTATTAAACACATGAATATAAAAGGATAGCTTTTACAGTAATAGTTTTCTGTTCTTTATTTTCCCAAAAGTTACTGAGCCGAAAAGACAAAGCTTCTTTTGACAAACTGGAATACATAATGAGCAAAGAGGACAATTATAAAAGACTTAGAGACTATATTAGTAGCTTGAAGATGACTCCTTGTATTCCTTATTTAGGTAAGACAAATACTTTAAATTTTTTTAGTTAATCTGTTAAAATACTGATATTGGCTGCAGTCTGTGAACTTAACAGCTGTTTCTGTTTAAAGAGAATATCTTGTGACTTAAATTTAAAATTCATTCTCTGTTCAATATAAAGCAACATAATAAAGCTTGTGTTGCAAAGCTGCTTTAGTCAGACATTTGACCCTTGACCAGCCTACAGAGGCTGCTGATGATCAGGCTATCTGCTTGAGGGCTAAGGCAGCCTCGCCAGCTGAGGTTTTCTTGGTTATTTACAGAATCTGTGTTCTCAAACAGAGTGCTTTGGGTTGTGATTGCAAATGTCTCGATTTCATAATTATCATAAATTTGCATTTAATATCTTTTAAAGTCTTTTTTAAAATATAAATTATGTGCAAAATACTTTTTCTTTTGAAGAATTGTACATTACAATGGGCATGCTAAGAATTCAGGAGTAATATTTTAATTTTTATTGAATTTCAGCACTTGAAAAAGAAAAAAAACAAGGTCAATTCACCTCATCCCTCTTGTTGTCATCATCATTACTGCTATTATCTTGGCAGTCATTGATTATTTTAAAAGAGCCCAGCTTAGTTCATTACCTCATTTTAGAAATTTCATGTTGCTTCAAACAAGGGGGGGGGCACTAAGCAACAATCACTCTCAAAATAAAAAAATCCAGTCTTTGTTTTCACATTTCCTAACCAAAAACTGTACAAAAATACCATTTTTGTCCTCTATGCAAAATGGGCATATGGACTTACATTTTTGAATCGTTCTTCCTTCTGGCAACAAAGATAGCCACAAATTAATTGGAGAAACAGCCAATATTCATGAAATTTATTGATCTCTGCCCTTGAGAGGTGTTTTGCTGCAATTGAACTTTAGCAGGGCACTATAAGTCAAGGAATACGTTGGCACATCTTGAAAAATCTTTCAGTAAATATGGAAAATGCAAAACATACTTGGGATGTACACAGTGTTTCAAATTCAGAATATTTTGAACTTGAAACACTGTGGATTCCCATTGAAGCCACACTTCTTGCCTCTAATAGCAATGTTTTTCTAAAGTGCTGAGGACATATTTACACTATTGATGAACAAGTAAATCAGTGGTGAAATCTGCACTGGTTTGCTACCAGTTTGCTGGCCGCGCATACACGCTGTGTGCCAAATGCACGCTGTGTGCATGCATGCACAGTGCGTGCCAAGCGCACATGCGCACAAACGTGCGCTGCGCGCACACATGTGCAGTACATGCCAAAAGGAGGCTTGGGAAGGTAAGTAGAACAGCGAGGGGATCAGCTGTGCCACGCGATTTAGCTTTGCTAGAAAGCAGAATTTCCTGCTTTCTAGCAAAGCTAACCCGCGCGGCACAGCTGATCATCAGAAATACCAGTTCGGAGGAACCGGTAGCTTTTTTAAACTACCGGTTCAACCGAACTGGTAGCTTTCTTTTACTACCAGTTCAGCCGAACCATTAATTTTTATCACTACCGATTCGCCTGAACCGGAGCAAACTGGTAGCATTTCACCCTTGAAATAAATGGATTTGCCAAACATGAAAATAAAGATAGAAAAGTATTACTATATTACTATTGTGTATTTTAGGTAGTTGCATATAATATAGTAATTAATCTATAGATTTATTATAGTATAGTATAGTATAAGACTATTCAATCCAGTGATGGGTTTCTACCGGTTCGCCCCGGTTCAGGCAAACCGGTAGTGGCGGTGGTGAGAGGCTCCACCCGCCCGCCTGGATATCATCATGGATGCTCTGTGCATGCGCAGAAGGTTCTGCACATGCGCAGAAGCACCATGAGCGAAGCGAGCGTGCGCTCGCTCACAGTTTTGAACCGGTAGCGAAGGTAAGTGGAACCCACTACTGATTCAATCACATATTTGCCTCAGTTGCTTCAGTCAAGTAGATACATTGCTTTATTCAATCTATGCACATGCCCACGTGACCCCACCAAGCTCACCCCGCTTTTGGCACACAATGGCATGGTCGGCCCGATAGGCCCATTTTTTGCCCTCCCCAGGCTTCAGAGGCTTTCTTGGAGCCTAAGGAGGGCAAAAACGGCCTTCCCCACCCCCCCGGAAGCCCTCTGGAGGCCGGAAACAGTCTGTTTGCTGACTTCCAGTAGGACCTAGAAAGCCTCCGGAGCCTGGGGAGAGCGAAAAACAGGCCTTCCCTTCCCCAGAGGCCCTCCAGAGGCTGGAAACAGCCTGTTTCCCAACTTCTGGTGGGCCCGGAAGGCCCGAAAATCAGCTGGCTGGTGTGCGCATGCGCACCAGAGCTGAGCTAGGGCAACGCTCGCGTGCCACTGATATGGCTCCGCGTGCCACCTGTGGCACGTGTGCCACAGGTTCGCCATCACGGATTTAGGGGATCCAATTGGCTCTTAACAAAGTTAAGTTGCAGCACCCTGAGGTCATATGATCTTTATATGTGACCTTCCCTGCCTGCTTCCCATAAGCAACATCAACAGGGAAGTTGGCAGAGAAGGTCACTGGTGGGTAAGCCTCACCAGTGCACTGTCTCCCAGCCTCTCTGTACTTGCACCTCAACAGCCATCTGCACACTCTGGCAGACCCTCCCTGGGACTCTCAGCCGTCATATGGTGTGTCCCTGCCACTTGTGCCCCTTCTCCCAAGCAGCAGCTGCCACCCCAAGCTCTTCCCCACCCTTGCTGTGGCTTCCTTATCATCTTCCTTATCATCTCTTCCAGCAGCTGCCATCCCAAGCCCCTCCACACTTGCACTATGCCTCCCTTACCACTCGCACACCTCCTTCCATCCAGCAGCAGCCACTTACCTGCCTATCTGCTTGCAAGCTGCCTGGAATTTGCAACCTCAGGTCAGCTTCCTGTTCTTTTTTAAGGTTGCTGACACACAGACAAAAACAGAGTACTGTAGAAGCAGGAATATTCACTGCTGTTTAGGCAGATAGTAGCAGACAGGAATGAAATTCAAATGCCCAATAAAGAATGCTTGCCTGAAGGGAGCCAAATACAGTCAAAGAAATAACAGCATAGTCCAGAGATGTTCCAAAAGATCCAGGATGCCAAATTGGGCAGTCAGCCAGTCCAAAGGCCAAGAGTCACAAGCAAGAAGCAGAAACATGATTCAAGAGCTGGATAGCCAAATGGTTGTTTCCAACAAGGACTTGCAAGCTCAGGAACTAATCAAATCTGTCTGTAACCTGCTGACTGCAATTACTCATGCTTTGCCCTTTGTTTCATTAGAAGCCTCATAGAGAAATGTTGCTTTGCTCACTTCTGTATGAGCCTAGATCTGGGACTTGGGAACAGGAGATACCTGTGACACATCAGCCATAATTGAATCTTGGCTTACTGGTTCCTGAGTCGGACGGTTCTGAAGCACAGGCCAGCTGGAACAACATTACCAGATTCATGGTTGGAGTCAGACACTGAATTATGGCTAATAGCACTTCCCACTGACTTTGGTTGTTGTAAGCCAGCAGGAAGTTACAAGGAGCTGCTCGCTTAAGGACTCATGATCCTCACTTAATGATGGCAGGGAACTGCGGGAATTGCCATTTTAAAATATGTAGTCACATGACACCATACTTTATTATTGCATCGTCTAGTGATGGAAATTCCTGAACCACTTGCCATTGTAACTCGAGGACTATCTAGTAACAATTGCCATAATGAAATGATAGTACTTTATTTGATGCAAAATACACTTGCAAAACTAGAGTTTCTCTCCAATTCTTTTGTCTCGTTGTCTATAAGGATCTCTAAAACAGTTTTTTTTTTTAACATTCAGGTCTCTGAAATAAAAACTGAAATAGTTTTAATCATATGAGAATGAATTGATTTAGCTATTTAACACATAAGAAAAATGTTTCATACTTGAGCTTTAAAATGTAGTCATTTTACATCTATTAATTTATCTTCCTGATCTTGAAAAACTGGTAAGTTTAATAGCTGCAGTTAATATTCATATCTGATATGAATACAGAATTATTTTAAATGCAGCCTTCAGTTTTGCTCTGTAATTAAAATGTATATAATTATGGTAACATATATAATATAGTGAGGATTTAAAAAAAATACTTGGTAGAGTTCTCCAAAGATCTTGAAAAATGACATCTGCATCAAACTCAAGGATTATTTTTTAAAAAACATTTTCGTAGTCTTAATCAATAGGTCTAATCATCATCTGAACTGCTTTCAGTGAATATGAACCTCCTCTGTATTCGGCCCAAAAAATCCCATCCTGATGTTTGCTTCTGTAGTGTCCTCCTCTATACCATACTCCATTGAGATTAGAATGAGCACAAGCATTGTACCACCAACCTCCTTTATGAAAGTGGGCACAATTTCCTGCAGATAAAAGCAAAACATTAAGATACATTTCACATCACATCACAAAACATATTCTTTGTAATTTACTTAATATAAAAGCCAGCTTGTTAACAGATTTATCTCCAGTGTTTGGCCATGGACACTATTGTTACTATTTTAGAGAATCATCCAACTGTACTTATAAAATCCTAATTTTAATGAAGACCTGTTGGTTCAGATGAAGTAATTTTTATCTTAATGAGGAAAACAATTACAAAAAACCTTCAAGTAATTCCCTCTTCAAATATTTGTCTCCATCATTCTCATTATAGTATTTAGGCGAAGGCGAATGAGCCATTAAAATGAAAAGAAGTAGCAAGAGAAAAAAAGCAGTTGTGTCAATTAAGTAAAATAACTTAGTGAGGTAGCACAAACAAGAAATGGAATAGAACTTAACAGCTAGTGAATGTGCTGGAATAGAATTCTCCAATGCATTGTATAGGTACTAAGGGATAATGATTCCTATGTTCCATTTATTTTATGGAAGCTTATTGTCATTTTCAAATAAGGAGGAATTTATTATATCTGGTAATTATATTTTGAGAAAAGAAAGGAATGCTCCTAATGAATACATGTGTATTTGTTCTATCAGTCTCTATAAGTTGTTTTGTCCTACTTATAGAGGACAAGTATTAGATAAAAATAGAAAATAATGGAATTATTTTTCCATAATTCTTTAAAAGTAAAGCAAGTTTTATGATCAACTAAATGATCTGTAAAGTATCTTTAGCATTTAGGTAAAATTAAAATCATATAATATATTCTTTGGCTATTAACAGTTGCAAAGTTACTTTTGATTATTGAATTAAACTCAATATTACAAAGCGCAATTCTGTATAAGCATCTGCAATTCTTTATAAGTTCAAAGAATTAAACCAAATCTTCAGGAAAATCAGATCACCACAAAGCTTATTTTCTGTATAGTTTTATATATTGTGTTGAGTATGATATACTTTTACACAGCCAATCAATTTATTACAGCTAGATCAGGGGTGAAATGTTACCGGTTTGCACTGGTTCGGGCGAACCGGTAGTGATAAAAGCTAGTGATAAAAGTAGTAAAAAAAAAGCTACCAGTTCATCCAAACTGGTATTTCCGATGATCAGCTGTGCTGCGCAATTTATATTTGCTAGAAAGCAGGAAATCCTGCTTTCTAGCAAATATAAATCGTGTGGCATAGCTATTCCCCCCACTCGCTGTTCTACTTACCTTGTTAAGTCTCCTTTTTCCGTGCAAAGTGTGCATTTGGCGTGCACTGTGCTTGCGTGCACACACAGTGTGCATTTGGCATGCACTGCACATGCGTGCATGTGCAGCGTGTGTTTGACATGCACTGCGCATGTGTACACAGCATGTGTTTGGTGCGCACTGTGCATGCACATATGCAGCATGGGTTTGGCACACACCGCACATGCCCGGGCAGCAAACTGGTGGCAATCCGCAGAGGATTTCACCACTGAGTTAGATGCAATAAAATAACCAATGGCAGAACTGTTGCTTACACATACATATAAAACAGAAAAATAGTAAGTAAAATAAGTTCTAAAAAATCAAGGACAGATATAATAATAATAAAATGTTATAAGAAGTTCCAAACTTAATGGTGCAGTGCATTGTACAATTAGTAGCACAAAACGTGGAACCTGAAGACTTGGAAGATAGTTTTTAATCCTTTTCTGAAAGAAATAACATTAAGTAGAAATCACACTCCCTACCCAGAAATTTTTTCGAGATCCAATACTCTGGTTTCTCTACAGATCAAATGAATCTTTTGCCTTTTTCACATAGTCAGAACAGTTACTTTCCCATGAGAAAAAGGCTTTTTCACCCAGTATTTACCTTTAATGTAAATCCTAACTCTAAGCATATGTTTTTTTTATTGCCAAAAGTAGGATACAAGTTACTTGTACATGTCTATGGATCATTCTAATTGAAGATATTTTTATGTTAAACAGAGTACTATTTTGCAAAGTCCTTTATCTTCCCAGTGTTTCATCAAATTATTTCCTCAGCTTAACCAGAATAAGTATGTAGATCTAAACAGTACTAATTCTTACCTGTGTGCATATCTCTGTCTCTGTCCAGTGTTGTAAATTGTTTTCCATTGTGCCATATCATGGAATCACCAGCATTCCCTTGATATGTGCCTAAACGTAGTCGATAATATTCACTCTCTGGCTCCAATCGAAAACTGCTGTATTCTGCATAGACTTTCTTATTACTCCAATCTTCTAATTCAATCAGAAGTCTATAATTATCCTGATTGGAGAGCAAGTAAATATTTTCCAGTCCGAGCCAGTATTCCCCAGCAACGTTTCCAAACCCTTTCTGTAAACAAAGCAGAAAGTTGAATAAATTGCCTTCCATTTCTCATATAGAAGATTTTAATATATAATCAATATATCATGGATATATCTTTGATGCTCTAAAAGTATTAAGGAAAAATCTAATAATTAATTCACCTTTGACCATAAATACTGATTTGGGGAAAGTTCACAGATAGACACATTGATTATCATCTTCTCTCCATCTCTTTGATAGAGAGGGTGTGAAGATAGAGAAGGCGTGAAACATTATGCAAGTGTGAGACTTAAGTGTGGTTTCTAGAATTTTGTTCACCACTGGATTCTGACAACGAAGCAGCGTGCTCCCAATTTACTAACAGATACCTCAAGATCTAAAAGCAAATTAATTAACTTTTATGCATCCACCCAGTAACCACTGATTGTGAGAAATTATAGCCTGTCCATACTGGTTGAGGGAGAATTCTTAGTATTAGAATTAGTAGTAGTAAAAATATTTGTATTATATCAGTCATGGAAAAATGATTTGATTAAAATCATTTTAATAAATTAAAATAGATTAGCAGGTAAATGGGTGGGAAATTATATTAAATAGTAAATATGATTTTTATAATTAAGCATTGGGAAGTCATCATGAATTCACTGTGTTTGATTTATGAATGTAAAATAGTGATAAAATTATTAATTAATGAAGGTGAATTTGAATATGAAAGAGAATCCAGCCAGTATTTTTGCTTTGCACTTCCTTTTTTCTTGCAGCCAATCCATTTTCTAGGAGTATTTCTTAGCATGCTCTGCTCCAGATAAATTGTTTATTTCTTGTAGCATCTTCACAACTTGCCCTTTGTTCTCCCATGTCTAATGTATATATGCTAGCAACATTTTGTACATTACTTTTTGATAGCAAACTACAAAGTCCTTCTTAGAAGAATACTTTTTCCATTCTAGGGAGAAGAGGCTTTTTCACAATGTCATTTAAACAGTTAGTTGTAGACCAGGGGTGTCAAACTCAATTTCATTGAGAGCTGGATCAGCATTGTGGTTGTCCTCCAGGGGCGGGACGAGCTGTGTGGCTAGGGTGGGAGTGGCCTGGGAGTGACCAGTGGGAGCTGAGCGGGGTTGGGGATCTCCGATGAATGGGGCGGGATGCTCATCCCATGGGATGAGGTGAAGAAAGGCAGGGAGCGGGGCAGCTATAGCGGTATGTCTTCAGCTGCTTTTGGTGTCGCTTGGTTTCTAACCCCACCCCTGCCAGGCTGGTCTGATCTGGTATGGGGGATTGCATTCCACCTTCTCCACTGTGCCATGAACGGGGATTGACCATCCCCCAAACCCCACCACTGTCAAAGTAAATCCTGGCTGCTGTGCTGCAATGGACAGATGAAAAGTGCAGCTTTTGTCTTGAGGAAGAGCAGGGAGAAGAAATAGGGAAAGCGGCCGAGTGAGAAGCGCCCTGCTGGCCAGGCACTAAAGTGCCGCCACTGCCACCGCAGAGAGAGAGGGAGAGCAAGAGAGCGATCTGATCCAACCTCTGTGTTGGGAGAGAGAAAGAGGGAAGAAGTGGCGAAGAACAAAGAAGAACAAAGTGAGGTGGTGGGGGGTAGTGGAGGATGAAGCAAGGCAGGAGGTGCGGAGCCCCACACCGGCTTACCTGAGGGCCTTTTAGCCAGGCCATCCATGCCAAACTGTCACCCCCACCTCACCCAGGGAAGCTACATCCTTTCACTAACCTGCTTTCTAGCTCTGTTCACCGCTGCCACATGCAGAGCAACAAAAGTAGTCTGTGGAAGTGCGGTAAAAAAATTAGTTCAGAACTTCCAATTTCACACGAGAAAAAAAAAAAGAAAAGACCTCATGATGTTGGAAGGTCTGAACTATTTTTTTACTGTAGTCCCACAGACTACTTTTGTGGGCAGCAAACTGGGCCTGTGCACGTGTGCGCCCGCCACCTCCGGTGCACATGCATGCAGGGGTGGCATGGGCTGGGCCGAAGTGATCTGGGCCCACCCATTACAGTTTCTAGGATGGCCGCATGGACCGGATCTGACCTTTAGTTTGACACCCCTGTTGTAGACAAAGAAGAGTTGTAAAATAAAAGCATAATTTGTTAATGATAATTTAAAACTCTCATGCCCAGTTAACAACATAATCCTGTGCATATTTTCCCAGATCGTTCTGTTCAGGATTGTGATCTGAAACAAATCCAATCCTTTATTTATTTGTATGAAATTTACAATAAATAATTCTCCTTAACAGAATCAAGAAGTAAGACACTACTCAAAGAATCACAATATTGATTTTCATAAAATTAGCAGGAAGGAGAAGTAAGAATAGTTTATACAGTAATGATTTGTACATTATATGAAGCGCCACATCTTTGATGCTTTCTATGCAATTGCTAAACTAGGCACAGAAAATTATCCTATGTGGGCATACCTTTAAATAATTCCACATAGATTTTATTTTTCTTTACATATAAGCTAGCTGTCTGGTTCCTGGTGCTTTGCATATATATTGGAATCTCACAAATTGTGGTCATTGATAGGAAAGTTGTAATCCAGCAAATTGAGAGAGTAACAAAATGAAGAAAGTTTATACAGGTAGTCCTCGATTTACAACAGTTCATTTAGTGACTATTCAAAGTTACAACAACACTGAAAAAAGTGATTTATGACCATTTTTCACAGTTACAACCTTTGAAGCAGGGGTGAAATCCAGCAGGTTCTGACAGGTTCTGGAGAACCGGTAACGGAAATTTTGAGTAGTTCAGAGAACTGGCAAATACCACCTCTGGCTGGCCCCAGAGTGGGGTGGGAATAAAGATTTTGCGGTATCCTTCCCCTGCCACGCCCACCAAGCCACACCATGCCCACCAAGCCACGCCCAGAGAACCGGTAGTAAAAAAAATTGGATTTCACCACTGCTTTGAAGCATCCCCATGATTATTTGATCAAAATTCAGATGCTTGGCAACTGGTTCATATTTATGACCTTTGCTGTGTCCCAAGGTCATGTGATCACATTTTGCAACCTTCCGACAAGAAAGTCAATGGGGAAGACAGATTCACTTAACCAGATTACTAATTTATCAACTGCAGTGATTCATTTAACAACTGTGGTAAGAAAGGTTATTAATTGGGGTAAAATACATTTAACAAATGTCTCACTTAACAACAGAAATGCTGTGCTCAATTGTGGTTGTAAGTAAATGACTAACTGTACTAACAGTGCATTGTAAATTGCCCCCTGGATATTTTTTTATGATTACCTTATAATTGTCCCAGTTTGTGAAGAAGTTCACTGAACCATCTGTTCTTTTTTGAATAACTGTCCAGCCCCCAGGATCAAGGCTGTTCTCACACCATAACTGCACTGGTCCATGACTGTTTTCAGTCTTGATCATATAAATCCCACTGCTGGAATAGCCGGTTTGTTTGGCTTGATGACAGTCTTTGAATGGGCCTTTTGAAAACAATTTAGCATTTTTAAAACATCCATTGTTTTTCACTAGTATACTGATATGTATAAAAGAGACATTAAATACCATTATGTTTTCTTTGGTAACAGACATTGTTTCCTTTTTACATACTGTTCCTTGACAACTTGTATAATTAGCATTTTCAAACTTCTTGAAGATTACTAATATTGACATTATTGCTAATAATATATATATTCATTCATAACAATTTAGAAGTGAAATAACTGTTAATTAAATATAATCTTAAATGTGTTTTAAAAATTAACAATTTATATGCAATATTTCAAGCTTAGTAAATTAATATAATTATATCTGTACTCTATGACTCATTCTATTACATTTATTATTAATTATTAATTATTATTATTTATATTTATTAAGTAATAAAATATATCCAAGATTAAATCATTATTTATTACCTTGGATATCTCAAAATAACTGCTTTACTTTAGGATTTTGCATTTGTTTCAAACAAGAGGGAGTCTGCCCATTTTTTATTTCAAATACAGTATATACTTCTGGATTTACTTATTTCTCAAAACTCATTCTAAGTTTTGTTCTGGACTTTGTGTGGTCAGGCATAGTAAACTTGTCCAATCAAAACAGAAGTTAGTTTTGACAGCATGCACAGATGTGATAGGCTTAAAAATAAACGATACTTTGTGCAGTCATAACTGACAATTTAAGAATCCCTGCTGTAAAGTATATTTTCTTTCTTATGTGAATGAATGAGTTTTAGTTACTGAAAGTTTGATTTCTTGGGCCATATTGGAATTGGCATATATGACAGTTGTCAAAAATAGGCAGGTATTGGGGTCCAAAAATGATTGGCATTCTTCTTTTACGTTACTTTTAGGAAATTATTGTATGCAGTACACATCAGTTCTTGTTTGGGAGAATCTAAACTTGAAAACAGTAAAAACATTCTTTTCTTGAGCATGTGGATGGAATGTGGGATGTATATCTTAGAGCACTTAATATTATGACATTAATTATTTAAAGAGATATAACAAATATGATTTTTCAAAATGTGTAGTTTGTTAATGTGTTCAGTTAAAATCATGTATGTATGTATCTATGTATGTATGTATGTATGTATTGGACTTACATAGCGCTCCAATTGTTATAACACTGACAGATACACTTGAAACACCAGCCTTTAATGCTGCACAACTGCCCCTAATATACAAAATGTTTTAAACAAAATAAAATATACAATACAATAGTTGATGGAATACATTGATTTAGATATATAAGAGTAGGGGAGTTATGGAATAAAGAATTGGAATGTCCAGTTCATGAACATTACTTGAAGATAATTCTATTCAGTCTCCTGTACTATGGAAAACCTTCCTTTAGTTTAAAAAAAAAAGGTAAAGGATAGTTAACTTTTCCCTTTATTTCTAAAATCCAGAGTGCAAGGTTGAAACATTACACAAATGATGTAAGATTTTAAAAATGGGGCATATTCCTGCAACGAGGGGTTGCAGGTTGAGGGGTTTCTAACTTTTTAAAAAAAAGTATTTGGAAGACAAAGTATTAGGGGAACATTTAGAAGAAGAATTTGAAAATTCTTTAGTTTATGATAATGTGGAACAGAATTAAAGAAACAAAGAATCACACCAAAGCAAGACAAAGATTCCTTTGTAGAGAAAATAGAAAACTCAATATAGGAACACAGCATTTGCATAGCATTGTATATATTGGCTTCTAAAGTAAAAAAAAAAAAAAAAAGACAAATGATTTGATCTACTCCAGAAATTTAAGATTAAATATCAGAGTTGAGATGTATATGCACTATCGATTCCACCTTCCTGTATAGTGCATAAATTCCATTTAAACTATCCCCAACAGAGGATTATCTAGCCTTCTGTCGAACATACCCTATAACCCTGTAAAGGATCTCAATCTGAATTGTAAAATTTTGTTACGACTCTGAAGAGGTTTGTTATGAATTCTGAGTGCTATAAAAAGAATAAACTGTGTTTATTGGGTTTATAATGTTTATATAATCACTCCTGAGCAGCTTTTTAATCACATTATTTTTAAAAACATCCAGCAACAAATTTAATTCTTCCAGCAACAAATTTAATTATATCAAATATCAGGAAGACCCTTCGCTTACTGCTTTATAATTTTATCAGCTTGTCAAGAAACACTTCTACAAAGTTTTAATTAACATCCCTAAGAATGTATGAACTATATAACATACTCTATATACTAACACATAGAGTTACAAAGAGTTAAGAGCAGGGGTGTCAAACTTGCAGCCCGCAGGCCAGATGTGTCATGTGCCGCCCACGCCTGGTTTAGCGAAGGGGAAAAAAGTCACAATACATCACGTTACGATGCTAGTTTGACACTCCTGGTTTAGAGGATGACAAAAAACAGAGAATTTTATTTGTATTGTGCCTCTGATCCATGTCAGTAGATTGCTGATAACTGCTACCCCCTTCATTATCTCCTAGTATATCCTTTCATATCTCTACTCACTCCAAAATCACTTTACTTGTGTTTTCAGACACCACATCTATATTGTGTGCCCTTTTCATTAACATGACTTTTGTATATGATTGGTTAACCAAGTTCTGTATGCTGAAATTCTGTAGGGTTTATGCCCACAGAAGTGGCAGCTATGCCTGAATGATTTATACTGTATTGTGTAGCCTCATTCATTAATATTTACCCAGTAAATATTAATTAATATTTACTGTGTAAATCTAAACACTATGGAGTTAAATGACTACTAGTTGTGTTCCTTTGTTTTTTAGATCTAGCATTTTATTTGGTTCTTTGTTTTCATTTTATTATTCATTTTGCCTTCTAAATTATTCTTTATATCAGCTATTTATTTTGAATAGTTTGTTGTTTATTCTTGTTTGAATTCTTTCGAAGTGGCTAGCTGTGACAAATAAGAGATTCACTCTAGAAGAAAGTAACAGGCAAGAAAAAATAATTTCATTGACAACAAACTTGCAAATAGTGCAATAAAGGACTTAGATAAGATTTAAGCTACTATTTCAGTTTTTTTTTCCATCAAGAACTACTCTATTTGTGGCTTTAATATTTAAAATAAATTTAGTTTTTGTTACTGTAGGAAAACAAATAGATTGAAAGCATAATATGGTTTTGAGGATAGAAGTTGAAACAATTTATGTCCAGGATGTGAGGGGTCTGTAGATATTTTTACAGCCGTCTTTTTGACTCGTGCAGTATTCAGGTCCTCAATGGAAGGCAGGTTGGTAGCAATTGTTTTTTCTGCAGTTCTAATTGTCTGTTGAAGTCTGTGTCTGTCTTGTTTGGTTGCAGAGCCAAACCAGACAGTTATAGAGGTGCAGATGACAGACTCAATAATTCCTCTGTAGAACTGAATCAGCAGCTCCTTGGGCAGTTAATAACCACATAAAGCTAAAATCTACTTTAACTTACTTCATAAAGTAAAATCTACTTTGACTTTCTAGAAGGCTAAGGGTTTGATTTGTATAAGACTAATAGCTGTTACCATTACATCTTTTAGCTTTATAGTTATTGTCCTTACAGGTATTAGATATATGTTTTATGTTGTAATTGTTTTCACAGTTTCTATATTATTACTTTATGTCAGCCTGATACCAAAATAAAGATTCAATTGTTATAAAAACTTATAGCCACAAGAGGGCATTCCCTGCACACATAAATATATCAAACACAACCCTTCTATTTTTGTGGAAATGCTTAAATACTAGACTGGGATAGGGCTGTTCTGATAAAAATCCAGAGAACCGTTAGATGACAGTAAAATGATATATATAAACTTGCTGCCATCTATTGATCGTCAGATCTTTACAGCCCAGATCTACTAATAATATTGCCTAAGAGCAGCAAAAAAGTAACTGCTTGAAATTGCTAGACAAGTTTAAGGAAATAAAGGAGACGAGAGCCTTCCTTAGTCTCCCTTAACATTATAAAAAAATGTTAGATTCATTGCTCAGAATGCTACTTATATAGTTTTCATATAGATGGTGCTTTTAAAAGTTTTGATATATTAGGTAAAAATCACAAAGGTTTTACACATGTATTTGTTAGAAATGTTCAAATTAAAAAGAAAAGGCTTACCTTCATTTATTAAAGTTAATGGTGGAATCTTGAAAGGACTTTTTGTAGGAGAAGTAACTGGATCAGGGGGTGGCCTTACATCTCTCTCTCTAGGATAACCTGGATCTCTCTGAATTTCATTACTTCCAAGCAGTGTAGGGTTGTAATGTGGATTATTAGGAATGTGATGAGGCACCACTGGAACTAGTGGCGGTGAACCATGTGCATCTTGCCGTGAGAATATTCGCAGACATTGTTCTTCCAGAAGTGTGATTATGACTGATTGATTATTTACAAGGTCAGTTAGCGCTGCGTATTTTATTTCAAGCTCTCTGTACCTTGATGCCATCTTCAACATTTCAGTTGTAACATTGAGGATTTTGTTTTCCAGCTGGGAAAGCTCCAGTGAATTGTCTCGTTTGCGAATTATCTCATGCAAGAGCTGCATATACAGCTGAGTAACACGTGAATTCATGTTACGACTCTCTTTTCTCAGCAATTTTACTTCATTTACTATATTTCCATCCACATCCACCACTAATTGCAAGAGATCAATCTCTCGCTTTTGCTTGAATAATACTTCTTTCAAATTCTCAATATCCATTCTAGTAATTTCATCTTTTTTGTTTCCTGGACTTGGGCCTTTAGTGTTGACACAAATTGGTCCAGTTATTTTTTGTTCTGGAACAATAAATGTGTAGCCGCACTTTTTCCCTTCCTCACCCTGTTCTGTAGAACGTGGATTTCGTTTAGGAAAGGATTTTTTAAGCGTAGTCTCTACTGTATAATATCCATTTGATAATAGCATTATTAAGAAACTCCAAATCCATGGGACTGTCTTCATTTTCAATTGAACTAAATGGAGAAAAATACATGTTATTTATCAAATATAGAAACTGCCCATCTTCCTTGCAGAGGGACTCTTGAGTGGTATAGAAATAAAATACTAATTAAAATTCAGCATTAAAAAGTTAAATGGCAAAGGGAAGACCTTCAGGGTGCTAATTAGCCCCACAGCTGCATAGTCCTTTGTGAGCCCCATGCAAGACAGCAGGGTCAGGTCTTTAGATATTTCCGAAAGGCCTGGACAGTGGGAGCCTGTCCCTCCTCTCAGAGGAGAATGTTCCAAAGGGCGGGGGCAATAGCAAAAAAAATGCTGAATCCAGGACCTTGCCAGTCACAGTCATAGTTTTTTAACTGACAAGGTCTGGGACACGCCTTCCCTACCTGTCCAGATAGGGTGGGCTGATATAATGGGGCAATTTTAGGTATTGCCAAGACTGCATCAGTATAAAAATAAGCCATGTCAAAAATTATAGAAAGATTGTTTGTCAGTCCTTCAGGCTTTAATTCTCTCCTATTCGCTATACTATTATAATTAGCAGAAGTATGGAAAGCAGAAACATTTAATATCTTAGTATTAGAAATCAATTAAAGTCACAACAGTTGGATAAGTTGAATACTATAGGATGGTATCAGGATATAATGCATACAATTACTAATATTGGATAACATAACTAGCAACTCTGTATTGATTTATCATCTTACATTTTGCAATACTCATCTTGAATGACAAAATGTAACCTTGTAAAAAATAAGTTTAGTTTCCATATTAAAGACCAAGCATGAATATTTTCAGGTTATAAATAAGCTCCCTCCTGCATCCATTCTCCTACTTGTGTCTCATTAGCATGAGGTAATCCTATATTACAGTATGAAAACTCTGAGTGACATGAACAAACACAATAGGTAATTCAGTGGGAAAACATTTCACTAACTCCTGTCTAATTTGATACAGGAACTTTACTACTGCTGTGTATAATAGGATATTACCATATAAAATGGTTACTGTACTACAGGCTGTATATTTGAAGAGTTTAGGAATATGGAGATGGACAGGTATTTGCATAGTAACTTTTTTGAAATTATTTTCATTTAAATAGCTATTTGAATTCAAAGAATTGATCTTTTATATGTATTTAAAGGGCAGTGCATTTAAAAAATGAATGCCAAAATATTTTGTAAAAATTGTGTTATATTTATACCATTGTTAAAATTATTAACCTCAGATATTGCAATTATGGTAGATTAGATTCTGTCATGTAGTCTATAAATTATTCTACATCTTAATTATTCAAGTTATTTTTATCTGGCAATGATTGTGGGGTTTTTTACTGTAAAAATAGTTTCAAACAGTATTAAATATTATTTTGCCTACTTCAGATGAACATTTCAAATGGTAACTTCACTGCAAATAGACTATGTTCTTGTTAGTTTTTTTTTCTGTATACAAAAAGTAATGCCAAATGAAAATTGCTTGTTTGCATTTAAATTTACACAAGATATAATTTAGCTCCCTTTTAAGATATAGTGGAGATTTGCTTTCCAGTGAAAGTGCTGTTCTTTGAAATAGTCTTCAAACAACATTAAGTGAAATGTTCCATCTCTATCAGCATAAGTAAAATTCTTCCTAGTATTCAGTTGTATTTTAACTGTTTACCCAGTGTAAAGATATACTCATCACCCTACCCCTAGCATTATCCTATACTGATGCATAAAACTAGTATTTTAGCAAGGAAAAAAACGATTTTGCAATAATTAATTCCTTTCTCTCTTACATCATTTCATCCTTCCTTTTTGCTATAGATAGTGTTGGTCTTTTTTTTCAGTGCCAAAGGTCTCACCTATTACTCTTACATTGTAGTGATATTATCAGTAACGCTAACCACAGCAAAGAAAATGTGTGAAAGGCAGGTATCTATATTCAGTTCACTGGAGTCATACTGCAACTAAATTGCATCAAACTCTATTTCATTGTGGGCCAGATCAGCATTGTGGTTGTCCTCTGGGGGGGAGGGGCATGGGTGGGGTGGGCGTGGCCAACTGTGGGTGGCCTTGAGGCATGGCCAGCTTGACATCGCTCGTGTGGGTGGTGCCTGTGGGGACCAGGTGGGTTTGGGGAGGGAATCCAGGGGTCTCCGGTGGGGGCAGCTACAGCCGGTGTGCCTTCAGCTGCTTTTGGCGCCACTCGGTTTCCCACCCCACTCTCGCCAAGCTGGTCTGGTCTGGTGGGGGGGGATTGCCTTCAGCGGTGGGGCTTGGGAGATGTTCAACCTCTGTTCACGGTGTAGTGGAGAAGGCTGAAGGCAATCTCCCCCCACCAGACCAGTTTGGCGGGGGTGGGATAGGAAACTGAGCGGCGCCAAAAGCAGATGTTTGAACAAATTGTTCTCAGCAGCCTGCACTGCTTCGTCCTCCACCCCCCATCTTGCTTCATTCATTGCCACTTCTCCTTGCTCACCGCTGCAATGGAGCAAGAGGGTGAGCGACGCACATGGGTCCTGGACGGGGCTGCTGGAGCTTCTGCAAGACAAGGCAGGATGTTCATGGCCTGGCTGCATGGTGCACCTTGCTTCGTCCTCCACCCCCCACCAGCTTGCTTTGTGGCCACTGCACCAGTGCGTTGCTCAGCCTCCTGCTCTGTTACAGCGGCGAGCAAGGAGAAGTAGTGGCAAAGAATGAAGCGAGGCGGTAAGGGGGTGGAGGATGAAGCAAGGCAGGGAGTGCAGAGCTGCCCCACTTGCCCCACACCGGCTTACTTGAGGGCCCTTCAGCCAGGCCACCCATGCCAAACCGTCACACATACCCCAGGGCAGCTACATCTCTTCACTAACCTGCTTTCCAGTTCCATTCGCCGCCACTGTGTTCAGGACAACAAAAGTAGTCTGTGGGACTATGGTAAAAAAAATAGTTCAAACCTTCCAGCTTTGCAAATCTGAATTATTATTTTTTTTACCATAGTCCCACAGACTACTTTTGTTGCCCTGCATGCGGCAGCAGAGAACTGGGCCTGTGCACCCACCACTTGTGTGCATGCACACCAGAATGGTGTGGGCCGGGCAAAAGTCCCTTACAGTTTCTAGGATGGTCGCATGGGCCAGATCCGACCTCATCGCAGGCTGGATCTGGCCCGCAGGCCTTGAGTTTGACACCCTTTTCCTAGGAGATCCAGAGCCCACTGGCACATAGAAAGTTACCCTGGGTTACGAGGTGTCAGCTAGCTAGGCCCACCAACACAGAGACCTTTTCCCCGCCCCAATATACTTGTCTACTTGCCTTACACTCAACTTGCTCTATCCTGCATGTGGGCCCCATTCTCATTATGGTTCAGAAGTCTCATTATTCAAATTGTATGGGGAAGGGTCTTCCTAACCATTGTGAGAGTGATGGTATTTGTTAGCATTTTCTCCTCCACTTTGGAAATACTGAATGTAAGGGCCTTTCTGAATGCTGATTTTGGTAGTGTTTTTGAGCTCCAGATTTGTACAGATGGAAGGGGAAATCCCTCAGCATAGTGTGAGAATGGGCCTCAAATCTTCCACCCCTGTTTGCAACTTTCTCTGTTAGCTTCCCTATTGACTTTCTGGGAAAACCAGCAGAGAAGATTGCAAATGGCAGTCATATAATCACAGGGTATTTGGCAATCAGTCATAAATACAAACAGATTGCCAGGTACCCAAAATGCACCACCCTGGGGGGAGGACAGTGTGTTGTTTTATGCCTATTCCATGGCTGTCATGGCTATGGTCATTAAACTACCAGTCATAAGTCAAGGACTATCTGTTTTGCAGTTAGCACTTCTGCAATTAGTTTTGCTGGGTGGGGAGCGTTAATACCTTGGAATATAACTCACCTACCCTGGAGCATTGAATTCATTTAAATTTGATAATTCTCTGTGACTGTCCTAGACTGCTGCTTTCTCCTTCCATTATTGTGAACCATGATAATAGCCCACTAATGTCAATGAATGTACCCTTGTCTTTAGTATCCATTAAGACTCTGCTCACCTAAGCTTTGTGTATTTCTCTTTCTAGCAGACTTTGGCAGAATGATTTGTGCCATAGATTCATTATTTAGAAATTACGGTATTACAGTGTAATGCACTTCATGTAAAAATAGAAATTTTATTCATATCAAATAATAGTGCAGCTTCCTGGAACCAGGTACGAGATTATGCAACTGAAACAACTGCACTGACTAATTCAAATCCTATGGCTGTAATTTGTTGTTCGTTGGCTTTTATTTTTTAAAAAGCCATTTGTTTCAGAAACAATTATTTCAGGTTCATGTGAAACCTCATTTCATGTGAGCCATTTTGTCATAAAATGATTTTTGAACTTTCTTCCCAGAGTTAACTGGTCTATCTCCTCCTTATTGTAATTATTAATTCTGCTTAGAAGAGCCTGGTTTAAACATCTGGGCTGCATTTTTGGGAGAGGGGAATAAATGGCTAAATAAGAAACATATATTATTACAGCTGAATATTATTTGTGAGTGACAGTTTAGTTTTGCGTGGAACAATGTACTAAAAGCAATAAAATTACATTTTTCTACAAATGCAGAGGAAATGTTCATATTGAATAGTCTGCTTTTCCAAATATTTAATTCATATGCATAACATGCAAACATGTTCTTCTGTACATTAAAAAGGTCAGCTACTAAAAGCAGTGAGTTAATGTGTATAGTCTGTCTTAGCTTTCATGTTTTGTATGATTAAAATAATTGGATATGGAAAGGAGTGATACCTATTTCTAACTGTTTGCAAGAGAATCTTAACATAATGTTCCACATTATTGGTAATCTGTTTGTTTCTATATCTTACTGGAGTCCACTGTGTGTTCCTTATTTTCTAAAGTGGTAGCAAAGTGAAATCTTTGAAATGATTGTAGTTTGTTAGTTACTCTATAGATGTGAATGAAGATTAGTAATCAATAATTGGTAAAAAAAAAACAAATAATCATTTAAGAATGGGCTTTTTAAAAAGTTTCCTATATTAGTTTGAGTATTTTTCTCTGAGAAATTAAAAATTGAATCTACCTCTGAGCATGAAACAATTTAAACTCATTTCCAGCTTCCAGACAAGTTATACAAAATAATATATGCTTATAGTTTGTTTTTAGATAAGAAATATTTTGAAGATTGAATTCATTTCTGAGATTCAGCTACCATAGATGCCACAGATTTAAGCTGTGCTCTCATTGGTACCCAGAAGAATGTTTGTTCATGTGATCTTTTAATTAGCATAAATCAGCATTGGCTTCAACCCATATCTCTCTGCAAGTAGAAGCTATCAGACCAGTGCTTTTTTGTTGGCCATAGTACCTGTATGTGGGACAAGTTTTTCCCAAGAAAGGTATTGTGCTCTCTTTTTTCACATGGCCTTAAACATAAAGTGATTTTGCCCTCCATAAGCAAAGTCTTTCTTAAACATTCCATCTTGAGAGAAATTGCAAATTTTCTCAATTTGTGAATAAAAATTTCCAGAATTATTTAAAAAAAATATTTTTAATCTACTGCTTGTAGATATTTTGATATTCTTTGTGTTTGAGGAAATTTATGTGTAATAGTTTCTCAAGTTTCCATCCTTTATGTCCTGAGATAATTAAAACACAATGTAAAAACAAAGCAAAACAAGCAATTGCTTATGCGTACATGTATTACTTTCTTAATTTAGTAACATAAACAGATGCTTTGCTATTTTCAGTACCTCTTTGATTAGAATACCATAAATATTTTGTATCTTTAATTACTTTATTGGATTGATTTTATTTTTCCATTTTTTAAAAAATGCCATTCATTGCTAATATTGAGTTAGTAATACGCAACAACCCAATCTTATTAAAATAGTTGGCAAAAAGGTATTTGTTCAAAATGTATTAATATAGTACAATTGTTCTGTTTAAATTGATCCTAAGAAAAATAGATTGGTGAGATAATGAAAAAAATATGAGAGACATATTAATATATTTCAACTTCAGCACAAAAAGTATGTGTTATTTGATTTTCTTTGGAAATACAAGAACCTTAGGTGTGGATAAGATGTTAAACGAAAGGATGAACAACACTCAATTTGATTTCATATGTACATTTCTCATTATTTTTATATAGCATTAAAATGATGCATCTCTTGATTGTCTTGAAAACAATCACATATAATACGGAACTGAATAAATTGTAGATTGAAAATGTGTACTGTAACTACAGAATTTCTATGAACTGATAGTAGTACTCAGATTTATTTATAAAAATGTCATTTTTAAAAAATTACATAATTAGCAAAATAAAAAAAACTTTTATATTGTACAGAAGAACAATCTAATACTGTATTTTAGTTAGTTAAAAACTGATAAAATTAAAGTTCTGAAATTATTTTTGATACATTCATTGTTAAAATGAAATACTATTGCCTTAGTTCTTACCTAGAATGGTATATATAATACATGAATATCAGTGATTCTACACCAGATGCTTCAAATGATGTCCTCTGGATATTTTGCCACCTTCCAATTTGGTTGTTTTCTATGTTGGCTGGGTCTGACAAAAGATGTAGTTTAAAAAATCCAGAGCGCACCAGGTTGCAAAAGAGTGCCATAGATTCCAGCAACTTAGATTCCACAGCTAAGTGTTCTAATAAGATCCTGAACTTTGTTGCTTTTTGCTTAACAAACTTTTTAAATTAGAACTTGAGAATAACTGTTCAGTGCATATATTAGTCTAATATAACATGGTACTCTCTGAAAGAGCAAAAAATGCTTTTAGAACTGAACATGTATAAGCAATATACCTCAGTGTAACATAGAAGGTAATGGTTTTGTGCCAAAGAAAACTTCAGTATTTGTATTGTTCTTTATTAGGTACAATAAAAATTATTGTATTCAACAATCATGGGCTCTAACTTTGAGCCAAGATAATTAGTACATTATATTGGGTTAACTTTCTTTTGCAAGCTAACTTAGCAATTTTTGAGTTCCTATAGCAGCAAAGAGATAACTGAATCTTAAAATTATCTAAATCTACCATGTATGGTGGATACATGTTTATTCCAAGTACAAATGGAATGATTTTTTGATCAAAAATTTGGGGCTCAATATTAGTACATGAATAGAACAAAATTAAATGAAGATTTAAATTACAGATTTTCATGCTAATAATAGATATGCCTGAAATAGTCTGAGAGTTGCTGACTTGCTAGTTTTTTCTTTATTAAGAAAAAGTTTTAAACATTAAACTAAAACAAAAACATTAAAAACAATTTCACCATGGAAGCTTTATTACAGTGGGTTCTTTTCCCCCTAATTATGCTCGGGGAAAGAATGTGTAAAAGAAGATCCTCTCCCCACACCTTCTTCCCTCAGCATGCAACTAATAGTATTTTGATGACTTTCTATAATGGAGTATCATAAAAATCAATGGAGTACAATAAATTCTAAACTATGTGTATATAGTGACAGCAATCTCATCCTTATCCAATATGGGGGGAAAATGCATGCATATTGACAGCAAAGAAAATGTACAGATACTAACCTTCTGATGTCTCTTTTCTGAAAGAGGGTAAAACTTCAGAGGCTTTTTCTGTATATTTCCTCCTCCTGGTGCCAATACAGTTGGCTAGCACAGTTCTATGTTATTTTGTTTATATCCAAATACATATCCCTCACTTTTAGCTTAAAGAAAGACTTATCTAAATAATTTCCTTCTGCAACAGAAAATATGGTTTTCTAACTCCTTCATTTCATTCTGAACTGAACTGCACTAACCAGCAACAGCTGAACTTGCTTCCATATACAGCACAGCACAGCACAGCACACTTGGGTGTGTTTCTTAAACAAATGCATGCCTAGACGTAGAAACTGCCAGCCCATGTATGAGGTAATTGAAGAAAGGGAGGGGGGAAGAAAGAGAGAGGGAGACCAAAGGACTTCCTATCCAAGGCCTTTGGAGTAGAATTGAAATTAGGAGAGGATAAAGAGTTGGAATCACAGTATGAACAAGGAGATACTGTTTACTAGTTGAATGGAAAGCAAACAGCAGATGAGGAAACTATAAAGAGTTTAGGCGCTGTACTGTAATTGCAAAGCATTGTTACTTGGTTGCTCAAAGTTGCCTTTAGCTGTTACCATAGTGAGCTTACTTTAGAGGAGAGATTCTTTCAGACTGATATATCCACTTTTCTGTTTCCGCGAAGGAAAGGAACAGAAGATTTGTGGATTTATGTATGTTCAATTATTATTCTGAAGAATGCAAACCAGAATGTCCTATTGAATTCTTTTTTAAGTTTATTTAATGAGAAGCAGTTGTTATAGCAATAATGTTTAAAAAAACATTGACAAAATAAGACATTAAAGCTATTAACTCTTAAGTTACATAGCATATTAAAGAAAAGACTTTGTGATTGGTCCAAGAAAAAAACAAATCACTTTTTTATGTAGGTGAATAATGTATTGATTTCTAACTGTTTATTAAATATTTATTTAGTCAAAAACCCAGATGTTTTTAATAGTAGAATGAGAAATGGTCATTTTATTTTATTATTCCCATCTCAGTTCAATAACACCAGTTACCAACAATCAGGCAAACACAAATACTAGCCAGTGTTTTCCTGATTACATATTCTGTTGTCACTCAGTGGCCATTTAGAAGCCAATAGATTATTTAGGATTTAATTAGCTCAAACCAGGCTGAAATGCAAAAGAGAGGTGGGGGTGTTTATTGAATAAATACTAAGAGAGTTACAGAGAAAGAACGGCACCAACCCATTTCTCTTAGACTGACCAGAAATTCCAGGAATGACAGTAAACAGACCCACTAAAATTGCCCATTTCATGACACTTTTTATTCTTAGGATTTTAGATCAACTTGATGTTTGGTGACTGGGCTTTTGTCTCATTTTTATACTTTTCTTAAGGGACAGAGAGCATAAATAATATCTAATTATTTCTTACTTACAACTTCAAACAATTTAATGCTCTGCCAGTTAGCTTTTTGTCTCGAGCAGACAACACCTAGAATTGATCTGGTAGCATATCTTATCAACAATGTGGGAACACAACTAGTTAAACCTTTGCTAAAAATATTTTTAAGAGAACCACTTATTTCTATTTCATTTTTTCCTTGTCAATCTTGCATGATGCTATTACAAATATAAAGTTTATATAATTGAATACAAAGAACAAATGATAATCATTTATGGAGATGTACATCAGCTGTACATCTCCACCCCAGGCCACCACAACGATGCCCTTGAAGTGATGTCCCAGTGCCTGGAGGCCGTGCGGGCCTGGATGGGGAGAAACAGGCTCCAACTCAACCCTTCCAAGACCGAGTGGCTGTGGCTTCCGGCATCCCGATATAGCCAGCTGGTGCCATCGCTGGCTATTGGGGGCGAATCGCTGGCCCCCACGGAGAGGGCTCGCAACTTAGGCGTCCTCCTGGATCCACGGCTGTCTTTAGAAGAGCACATGACGGCCGTGGCCAGGGGGGCCTTTTATCAGGTTCGCCTGATACGCCAGTTGCGCCCCTTTCTGGATCGGGACTCCCTGCGCACGGTCACTCAAGCACTCGTCACTTCCCGCCTGGACTACTGCAATGCTCTCTACATGGGGCTCCCCTTGGGGTGCACCCGGAAGCTACAGTTAGTCCAGAATGCGGCCGCGTGGGGGATTATGGGAGCGACGGGGCACTCACATATGACACCTCTCCTGCGCGAGCTGCACTGGCTTCCTGTGGTCTTCCGGGTGCGCTTCAAGGTGTTGGTGACCACCTTTAAAGCGCTCCATGGCTTAGGGCCGGGTTATCTGCGAGACCGCCTTCTGCCGCCAATAGCCTCCCACTGACGGGTTCGCTCGCACAGAGAGGGCCTCCTCAGGGTGCCGTCGGCCAGACAGTGTCGGCTGGCGACCCCCAGGGGGAGAGCCTTCTCTGTGGCAGCACCCGCCCTCTGGAATGACCTACCCCCTGAGATACGCACGATATCAGACCTCCAGACTTTTCGTCGGGCCCTGAAAACACACCTATTCCATCTAGCTGGGCTGGCTTGATCCCATCGTCTCAGTTTTAATTGAATTTGGTTTTAATTGGGTTGTTTTTAATATCTTGGGCCAAAATTATTTAATTGTTTTTTAAATTGTTTTTAAATTTTATATGCAATGTTTTATCTTGGCTGTACACCACCCTGAGTCCCGCAGGAGAAGGGCGGTATAGAAATAAAATAATAATAAAAATAAAAATAAAAATAAAAATAAAAATAATAAAAATAATAATTTAGACATCTAGCAGTTGAATTTTAAAATATAATTGGTGCATTAATTAAATATTTTGTTGAATTGCAAATATATTTTAGATACAGATTGAAATATAAAACTTTTATATGGAAGGCCAGAGTTGAACGTTTCAGGTTCGTGACATGTCTTCAAAGTCCAAATGCTATCTGAAGCAGAACCGGAAGGCTGTGATGTTATTTGATTTGAACTACAGGTAGTCCTCTCTTAGAACCACAGTTGGGATCAGCAACACCATTACTAAGTGCCATGATTGCTAAACTAAAAATCATGTGACTGCAAGGACCTACAGACTCAACTTCTTTTTGCTAAGCTCCCAAATGATGATCACATGATTGAAAAATACCGCAATGATCATAAATGAGAGGATTGATCACAAAGCTGGAGGTTTCCTTCACAAGTGTAACAGTCGCTAAATGAGGCAGTCAGTAAGCAAGATCTATCTTAACTTTTTCAATGCTCTATATGATAAAAAAAAATTTAATTCATCTTCAGGTATTTATCTCTCAGACTTGACATATATTGACTCAGCATATCCATCAACAGGAAGTATTCTGGAAAATGAGCAGAGATCAAACTTAATGAATAATATTCTTAGAATAATTTCAGACTTACAGCAATCTTGTGAATATGGTAAGTTATACCATGTATTTATATTACAGCATTATGTGCAACCAGTGAATAAAATTGCTTGAATATTAATTGAGGCTTGCTCAAATTTCACCTTTGATTAAAGGTGGTGATGAGATACTTTAAAAAATAATTCAAGATATGAAGAGTATATCTTAAAATATATCTCTTTCAACAAATGTAAATGGTAATATTTGTTTACTAAATTCTTTCAAAGAACAAAAAGGACTTTTCTCAACTTAGCATTCACTTTTTAAAAATAAAAATAATTTAACAATCTTCGATACAGTAAGCTTTCTATTATTCAAAAAGGTCTTTGAAACCACCCCCTTAATTTTGACTAAGCCTATTTCAAATAAAGTAATCTCTCAATAAGAACCTTCCTTTTTATTAATTTATCTACTATCTAAATGCCTGCTTTTGGGGGGTGGGGGCAGGAAGGTAATATAATAATAATAGTTAACATTGATATGAAATCATGCCATATAAAAATACATAGATCTTAATGGCTGCCAATGAAATAATTGCTCTCCATGTATATTAATTACTATTTAGATATTCCTGTGTTGCCGCATGTTCAAAAGTACCTGAATTCTGTTCAGTATATAGAGGAACTTCAGAAGTTTGTGGAAGATGATAATTATAAGTAAGTATAAAAACTGGTCAATTACAATGTATTCATTATTAAATTTTTGGTTTTAGAGCAATTTTCATAAAGAACAAAAAAAAGTACTTGTAGTCTTCTTTTATAAATATTTTAAAGTTTTAGGACATTTCTAGTTATAGGCTTTCATTTTTCATGAATACTTTCTTGCTCTTCCTTTTTTTTTCCTTTTACTTTCTTTCTCTTTCTTTCCTAGAACATAACCCTTGGCTGTAAATATTAAAAACAAATGAATAAAAAGAATAACAAACAGAAACCCCTGTAGTAGTTTAGGCACTGAACTAGGAATGAGGAAACTCATCCATTGAAATTTACTGGGTGAGCAGTAATTCTCTCCACCCAACCTGCAATACGGGGTTTTTGAGTAGATTCCCATGTAAGTCCTTTGAGTTCCGATAGGAAAGATGGGATATAAATCTAACAGATGAATAAGAATCAATAGTTATTCAGGATCTAAGACAATCTTAATGTATTACGAATTATTTATTATATACCCCTATTCTTAATCATCTTCCCTCCCAATTATTCTGTTATTAACTGCGGTATTTGGTATTCATTATATAAATCCATACTGGCCTTTTTAAAAACTAAGATTAATTGTCATGCAGTAGTTATATGTGCAACTGTTTTGTTCTTTTCTTTAAATTAATATACAGAGTGGAAGAAAGTTTCCAGGAAATCACAGTGTTTTTAAATAGCACGTCACATGTATTTTTTTAATGAAAAATAGGTATTTTGTATCTTACTTTAATGAGGTTTTTTATAATTTAAATCTATCAAATTATGATAATGGTTACTATTTTATTTTATTTTCTTAATTTATACTCCACCTAATTCATGGTTTGATGCTACTTTGGGAAGCTAATTATTATATTTTTATCTCACCTTTTCTTGTGTGTATGTCTGTAACTCAAGGTGGTTAACATACCTAACACTCCTGCCTTCTACTTTCCCCACAACAACAACCCTATGATATGTATCGGGCTGAGATAGAGTGACTGCCCAAGGTCATCTAGACACTTCTATAATTAAGGGAGGTTTCAAAGTCATAGTCTCCTTGTTTCTAGTCAACACGTTAGCCACCACCAATCTGGCTCAAATGATTTATTGATAGATTCCTAGTAGGAACTCCTAAAAAATGAAAGTAAGTGTAGCAGCCTGAATTTTCTATTAGCAAAATCTTTTTTTGTTTCTTAACACAGACTTTCATTAAAAATAGAACCTGGGACCAGTACCCCACGTGCCACTGCATCACGTGAAGATTTAGTTGGTAAGTATTAAACAAAATGTTCTGTTTCTACTCCCCAGTATTTCTATTTTCTTCTAATAACCATAAAAACTGTTAAATAGAAAGCCTAATTTAAGCAAACTTTTAAATAAGCTAAAAAGACAGAGAAATAGCTAAAATCTGTATATGCACTTCTGAAATTATTTCAAAGATTTTGAAGAATTATAATAACAAACTTGCTCTTTGCTCTACTCTTTTTTATGTATTTTTTTCCAGGCCCTGAAGTGGGTGTTTCTCCCCAAACAGTGCGAAAGAATGCTACTGCTGAAGGAGCATTGCTACCACCAACTCCTCCATCTCCTAGAAAACTGATGCCTCATGGGCATAGAAAGTGTCACAGTTTGGGATACAAGTTAGCATTTCATTTGAGATTCAGTTTCTTTTATTTAAATCCATGATACTCTGAATTATTGTTATTTAAAAATCCATGTATATGAACTAAGTATCTTCTTTGCCATTGACTTTTCATGCAGTGCATGTATTAGGTTGTTTATATAGCTTACAATACATATACCTTTTTTAAACAAGTAAATTCAAGATAAAGATAAGTAAAGATATATATATCTTATAGATAAAGTAATGGCTGAATTTGTACATCATGATAACTCAGGATTATTAAATAATTTATTAAACAAGCCAAACTCAGATTTGCAGACAGACAATGCAATCATGGCATTGTTGGAACCCCAAAACAGAGAAACTGTCAAAAACAGAGAAGAGTCTAACAATGCAATATGCCAACCTTGAGCTATACATAATTGCTACCATCATAAAGTAATATTACTTGTTTGGTTAGAATTTCTATTTTGTTTTAATTTCCTTTGCTTTATACCTCTGTGTATTGTTAGAACTTTGAATAGGAAATTGGATTAGCAGGTTAACTCAGTGATCTAAACGGTTCCTTTCTGTTTTCAGGAAACAAAACAAATTAGGTACAAGGCAACAAAATGCTCGTTTCTGTTTGTTTATTTTAACAAAATAATGTTTTGCTAAATCATAGTTACAATCATTGAACTGAAAAACCCTGGTTTCCTATTGATTTATATACTCAACCTGATTGTTCATACATTGATTGATTATGCCCCATCAATTCAATGTCAGATTTTAGCAAACACAGGGATAGATTTTCTCCAAAATGAACTTGGTCCTTCAGGTCTTCCAATGGTGCACCAGTCACTTACTAGTGATCATCCTCTTGCCTTGAGCAAAAGAAAAAAGAAAAAAAAAAGAAATGCAGTTAATCCTCATATTTAAACATTCCCAAAATTTAGGAATTAAATTGCAAAGTACAAATCATCTTGCTTGCAAATCATTTTATGATTGTGAATGTGGATGGCAATCTCTATTTAGGCTGCTTGTGGTAAAGAAAAATCAATACTTAAACATTGGTAGTGTACATAATTTCCTAATAACATTTTCATTCTTCCATTTCCACTTCTAATGTAATATTGGAATCCATTCTTTAATTGTCCATGTTCATAAATATTTGCCCATTGTTTATAAAAGTATAATGTACATATACATAGAAAAAAGCAGCAGGCATTGTAGAATTTTAGTACAAAAATATTAAATGTAACTCATCTATGCCTGTTTCTTTCATATCTATTATAAAATTATATATTCTTGTGAATATTTAACATTTTAAACTCTTTTTGCCTTTATTTATTTATTTAGTCTTTTTTTGGATTTGATTATTGAGGTCTGATCTATTATTAAATATACTTTTGGTACTATGTTATATTTAATACTTTAAAAATGTGATCAATTATTATGTATTTTACTATTTTTCTAGTTTCATTCATAAAATGAACACAGCAGAATTTAAAAGTGCAACATTCCCAAATGCAGGACCAAGACATCTTTTAGATGATAGTGTCATGGAACCACATGCTCCATTACGGGGGCAGGCAGAGAGCTCCACCCTTTCCAGCGGAATTTCAATAGGTGAGATTTTATCTCAATCAGTAAAAAAAGTATCTTGAAATTCAAACTTGTATTTTCTTCATTATATTTATATGCTACCTCTCTTCCATATTATTTAAGGGTCATGCATAGGCCTTATCCCCAAATAAACTACACTACACTGCACACTACAAACAGAGTTAGTGTCCTGGTGATTTGGGGATTAAAACCTCCCATGTTGTAAAATTACTCAGGATTTACTATCTTTTCAATGTCTAGTATAAAGTTCTATAAAAGCCTCATGCAAAAAGAGTCTCTGGGTTAGGTCTAAATTTTCCACACCCACATAAGAGCATGGGGAGGGAATAAAAATGATTAGAAAAAGCAAGTGGGAAAGGAATGGCGAGTTTCGCAGTATCCTTTGCAGTGAAAGTTAACTAAAATGCCCATCAACTGACAGGTTCACTGATCATAACTTGGCATAAATATCAGTCCATTGACTTACTTACTTACAAATTGACTTAGCATGGCTTAGCTAGGCTGCTAATTTTCATTTGGCTAGAGTCTTTCAGATATTTGTAGCAATCTATTACAAACGAGAACAAAGCAACATTTTCAAGGACATGAAAGGACACACATTAGATCTAGTTTTTGTTTCAACACAAATTCATTGTGATATGAAAGTGTGAAGATGTTGAACTCATCTTTTGTCAAGGACAGATCACTTTCTGATTGCTACAGAGTTATGTATAGCATTCTCTTCCTGTGCTGGGAAAGGACTCATTTAACTTTCCACCCCAGCATCTACCTATGGGTATTCAGAGGCTCCTGGGAAATTTCACAGGGATCTGGTAATCAGTTCATCCAAGTCACTGGTTACACATTTGTTTAATAGGACATTCAATGCCGTAGATAGATTGCATCATAGCTGTCTGCCCTTGCATGCAGATGTGGTGCAGCTTTTTAAAACACTGAAGAATTTAGGGTGGTGAACCAGTAGAAAAGATGCCTAAGAGACAGCTGGAGAAAGAACAATCTTGAATGGCTGAATCCTAGTACAAGCCTAAATTAGTTCACACAATGGTGATTCAGGTAGCAAAATTGAAGTCTTTTGCCTCCCTTATCTACATGCTGAATGCCACCCAGCAGCACTTTTTAAGACAACCTGCTTCCTTTCAGACCAGGATGTTCACCAATATAATCTCACTCATTCCACTGTGACAAATTTCATGCTATCCTTCTGGGCCATCTGCTCAGAAAAGGGAGATGGTGGCACTGCTTTTTAGAGGTTTTTCTTGTGTTTGGTTGGCTAATTCCAGAAGATGGTGCTAAATTGTTATTGTTCTACTTCATTTCTTTCATACATACAGAGACACAAACATAATGAAAGAAGAAGCACAAATGTACTAAACAAAGAACAAATACTATATACATATTCATTTAATATAATGCAATTAAATTATATTAGGCAATTAAACTATTCAAATTTAAGCGAGTTCTAACAGTTAAGTGGGGAGAGAGAAATTGAACATAAAAACTAGTATACACAGTTAAAATAATGTCATAAACAAAGCTCCCCGAAATAAGGTGTTTTCTTTTTAAACTAATGTCATTGCATTTGAGACAGTTTTATTATGGGTAATTTTTACAAGTTTTTAAGAAACATTTTTCAGGCTTGGCAAATCATAGAATTATGATGTTTTTAAATTGATTCACTTATTCCAATTTTAGGTAGCAGTGATGGTTCAGAGTTTAGTGAAGAAACTTCTTGGCCAGCATTTGAAAGGTAAGAGAAGTCAATATATTTTATATTGTTCAAATGTGTATTTAACATATGACAGTTTTACATTTCCACATAGAAAAGCATACTAAATATTTCTGGTATAATGCTTTTAATGAAGGCTCTGCTTTTCCTACACATGGATTATATATGTAAGACAAAATAATGGCTAAAATAGTTCAATCATGCAAGTTTTCTGGAGAGTGTATTATCACTAATAATTTAGCAGTGGTCCAAGAATCCTGTTTTGTAACAAATTTGCTCAGAGGGAACATATGCACCTTATATGAGTGGTTTATCATCAACTTATAACTAGCTGGGAGAATGTTGAAATAAGCTTCCCAAAGCTGAAGCTCCTATTTATAGTCGAGTAAAACCCAAGTGACAGTTGTCCTGAGCTGCTCCTAGAACAGCAAGACTGTTCATCAACCTGACCAATTTAGAACAGTAGACCACTGACTTTTCTGTCTTAATGAATGTATATGTTTGACTTATATAAAAACATGCTATAAATCTAGTATTGTTTTTATAAAATTACTTTTATTTTGTACAGTATATCATTGCAGCAGCTTTCAGATGAAATACATTGATCATTTGATAAAGCACCACTAATGATTTGAGGTGCTTATGCAGGTCCCAGTTCAGTACAAATGAAGTACTAGTAGACATAACAAGCTAATAGAATCATAGTTGATTTTATAAAACTAAAGGTTTTTCTTCTGCAGGATGAACTGTTCATATTCTTTTTCTTCCATGGCTTAGATTGTCTGTTTTCAGGCCAGTAACTTAATGCATTTTGCTCAATAATATGCATACAACAATAGTTCCATGAATATAAATAGAGGTATACATTTACCAACAAAGAAATAAAGGTAAATTTAAATTTCACACAAAATAGAGTACCTGCGAAGGCTCCTGGATTGGGGCTGAAAGGTGAAAGCAGAAGCAGTATGCTCCATCCCATATTTGGGTAGAGCAGGTTGCCCTGATAGACTGGTCTCACCAGAAACACACATAAATAGAGGTAGTTCTTGATGTACAATCATTTGGTCAGTGACAAATCCAAGTTATGACGGTTCTGAATGAATGGAGTTACAATCGATCCTCAGAGTTCTGGGTGTTCCAGAACATCATCACAATCTGGGTGCATGGCAACTCATTCGCACTTACAATAGCCAAGTACCCCACTGTCATATATAATCACCATTTGCAACCTTCCCTGCTGACTTCCCCAGAAAGTTATTGGGGAAGCCAGCAGAGAATATTGTAAATCACTGGAATAAGCGCCCCCCCGCCCCCAATTCTCACATCCAGCAGTTCTGCACTCATGCCGCATCAGCCACTCACACATCCCTGTATGCACCATATAATCCCTACATTTATTCAGAAGAAAAAGCCAAGAAACACTGCTAAACCACTATAAGAGTGAATGTTCTCATATTCTAATTGCTCTCATATTATGACATTAACATATTATGTTAATGTTCTCATATTATATTGCTCCTGATCACTTGCCTTTTAGAAATGTCTTGTTTTAACTGCTGGTGTTAATTGTCTAATCATTCATTGGGATGCCAGGAAGAATATTCTATTGCTATATGTGTTCACACCGAGAACATGTGGTGTTCAAATAAGAGATCTTTTGAAAACATGAAATACATGAACAAGAAGAAGTAGCAATGTAGCAGGAAGGAAAGCTTGTTATAGTGTTCTAACAAATGATGACTATGAATTTAAAAAATGTAACCCATACCATTTATAATGGAATCCAACAGGAACAGATTATACCATTCTCTTGGTCCGGTGACAAGAATAGCACGAAATGGCTATTGGAGCCACATGAAGGGCAGCAGGTACCAATCCCTTGTATTCAAGGGCCAGACACTTTCCTCTGGTGTTGGTGACTGATTTGTGAAGTGGATCTAATCTGACACTCCTGTTCTTTCTAACTATCTTGATACTCTCTTGACATATCACATCTATCAAAACAGGATTTCTATCTTAAAATTTAATCATATCTTCACAGTCTATGACTGCTCATTTTAATCTGCATATCTAATTTATTAATGTTATTTTAAACATTTAAAAATGTAAAAATACTTGGCTCTCTACTTTAAAAAAAAACCCTCTAAAGCAGTGATGGCTAACCTTTTCCGGACCGAGTGCTCAAAGCGCACACACGCACCCAAACCCCCAACATGCAATGTGTATGCACCTCCTGCATGCACCCTGCCCCTCCACATAGGCACGTGCGGCCCCTGCACATGCTCACCCCCCACGCATGCACAGCAGAGACCCGAAGACCAGCTGGCCAGCGGGAGGTGCATGCACGGAGGAGCTGAACTGGGGCAATGGCTCGCATGCCATTAGAGAGGGCTCTGCGTGCCACAGATTCACCATCACGGCTCTAAAGCATCATTTATGATACTTGATGGTACTGGAAGTAATTGGATAGCAAGAGTAATGCTTGAACTTTGAAGATTGAGTGAGAGTTAAGATGTTGCTTTTTCTTTTTATCCTGAGCCATATAAATTGTAAATCAGATGCCCATTATTTCCAGAGAGGCAGAAAGATGTGGGGTAACAGGTATGGCCAGGTCCCCCAATTTCAGTTCCCATTCCCCATCCTTGCTTATTCTCACACCTCTCCAAAATATCTTTGGCAGTTTTTATTAGAAGATAAAAACTACTGTATGTCACTGAAGATGAGTCTCTGTGCCAAAGTGCCTTTCAGCAAAAAAGACTTTTTTTAAAAAAAAAAAAAGTTGCAGTAATAATATCATAAAATAAATAGGGGTTCCCTTCATTTTGGTTTCTTAGCAATGCTATGCAAGAATTTCCTTGCCTTAAAGTTGCTTTGAATAACATTTTATGAGAAGCACTTACATTCACATCAAGGGTGCCGTCGGCCAGACAATGTCGGCTGGCGACCCCCAGGGGGAGGGCCTTCTCTGTGGCAGCACCTTCCCTCTGGAACGACCTGCCCCCGGAGATACGTAGGATCCCAGATCTCCGTGCTTTTCACCGTGCCCTTAAAACTGTTTTATTTCATCAAGCCGGGCTGGCTTAACCCCCCCCCCTTAGATATTTTTAATTGTTAATTGATTTTAGTTGGGGTGTTTTAAATTTATTGGGCCAAAATTTGTTTAATTCTTTTTTTTAAAAAATTAAATTTTGTATGCGATGTTTTTAGTCTTGGCTGTTCACCACCCTGAGTCCAGTGGGAGAAGGGCGGTACAAAAATATAAATAAATAAATAAATAAATAAATAAATAAATAAATAAATAAATAAATAAATAAATAAATAAAGCAAGCAAGCAAGCAAGCAAGCAAGCAAGCAAGCAAGCAAGCAAGCATTTTTACATTCTTCAGCACCTATCCACAATTTAGCGTCAAATAAGTGTTACAATCTGATGTAATGTAGACACGCATTTGTTAACTTTTGAAGGTCTAGAAAGCTCAGTTTGTCATCTTTCTTAGTTTATATGCTAAATAGTTGAAAGATGTATGGAAGAAATTGTCCAAGATGTTTCAGAAATTTTTACTTTCTTAGTCTGTCTCTAGGGAGTGATGGCTATGCCACATAAGTTGCTTGGTATGCAGTTACACAAACACTTGTGCAGTCAAATATTTCCTGTCATTAAAAGTTGGTCAGCTACTCACTTGTTAGAACACAACCTATCTTACAACAGCTTTATTTAACAGCTCTGGGGCCAGCTTTTCTGCTTTCCTGCTGCTTCTGTTATTGCTTTCAAATATCTTGGTATGGTATTGTGCATGTATTAAACTCTTGCTGATTTTCTTTGTTTTCTTTTTATATTTTTTTTCATTAACTCAAGTGACTACTATAAAATCAATATTTTTAGCAGATCTGGAAAAGTCTGGAAAGAACTATTTAAAATAAAAGGAAAGGAGTTTTTAAAGTGGAGCTGATTCCAGCTTTTTTGTCAATTAAAATTATTTGTAGCTCTTTGTCATAATATATAATAGTGAAAGTTATAGTTATTCATAAATTAATTGTTAAAGTGAAAGTCGTACTGTGCAAGTAAAATATATAATCTTTCTAAAAGTTGATATCTTTCCATAATTAAATCCAATAATTAAAATGTTAGTATTTTGTTTCGGAAACCACAGATAATATTAGTGATGCTTCAAGAATTTCTGTTGAAATACACAGTACTTTCCCATACTTTACATTTGCTTTTTTTTTTTAGTTCTGCAGAGTCTGAAGATTTAGCTGTTCATTTGTATCCAGGAGCCGTTACTATTCAAGGGGTTCTTAGAAGAAAAACTTTGTTGAAAGAGGGGAAGAAACCAACAGTAAGTTATTAAATAAATAATTTGAAATGTTTTCAAAATTGGCTTTTCCTGTTTCAAAAAATATTTTAAATCATTCATTTTAATTAGATCACCAATGATTGCTCAAGTATTTGAATTACGTACACATCAGTAGGTTATTAAGTAAGTATTTGGAAGTCAGTTGATAGGAAAACAGGATATATAACGTGTAAAATACAATATCTTGTGGCAAGATATCTTGTGACTTACTCAAATACTGTATTTTTCGGAGTATAAGACACACTTTTCCCCCCATAAAAGAGGGTAAGAATTTAAAATTTGGGTGCGTCATATACACCGAATGTAGCCCCGCCCACCCACCAGCCCCCCGGAAAATTGGGCACGCAGAGGCAGCAATAGGCTATGGCAATCCCTGCAGCCTGAAACAACTGATCTTCGGGAGGCCAATCCAACTGACAATCAGCTGCTTCTGCTAATCAGGCTGTGCTGAAGCTGAAATTGAAATGGGCTGTTTGCTGCAAGGAGGCTAATTGCTGGGAGATAGAGGCAGAATTTTTTTTCTTGTTTTCCTCCCCAAAAAAGGTAGGTGCAATTTTCAGAGTGTTTTATACTCTAAAAAATATGGTAATCTGTGCGGCTACCCCTCTAATGTACTTCCTGTGAATGATGTTGAAAAATACTGAGACTGACAGTAGTTCATGTCCAGGAAATAGCTTTTAATTTTGGGGTCTTGGATGTTAGATTTACATTTGTTTGGGAACCTTCCACATCATCACAGCACAAAATGTTATATTAGAGTATATAATGTGGATTACAGCTAACAATATTCTAAAAGTCTCATTCTGCTGAGTTAATGTGTAAAATGAATAGGAGTTAAATATATACAAAATTAAGATACAATGGAAGATACATTTTGAATTTATTAACCGTGTGATTTTCTAATCATATAGGTAGCTTCTTGGACCAAATACTGGGTGGCTCTATGTGGAACACAGCTTTTCTACTATGCTGCAAAGTCTTTGAAGGCTACAGAGAGAAAACATGTGTGTACTGTATTCTTGCTTTTAGCTGAGAGGGATAGTTTTTGGCAGAAGGATTTTTTTCAGCCTTTCAGTGTGAATGCTGCATATTCTGCAGCTCTGAGCTACCATCGTTCTATAAACTTCATATTGTCAAAATATGTCATTCATTTGCTTCCTCTGTTTTAACTTTGAGCTTTGCTGCAAGCAAGTTGTAGCAATTTTTAAAACTAATTCCAAATTCCTGCTGTTATTACTGCAGAAAGGTCCATATCTAGAATCTGTACAAGAAGCTTTATAAATTCAGTTCCATTTTTCTGTGCATGGAAAAATAGCAACTTTCTGCCTACATAAGGAGATTCAAAGAGAAAAAGTTTTTCCATAATTGACATAAAACTTGCTTATGTGACACCCCTGTTTGTGGATCAAGTCCCACATTAACTCTGGGATATATAAAATAGTGTATCCCTTTTGAGTTTACTTAATCTGTTTTGTATTACAAAAGCCAGCAGGTCAATTCTGCTCTTTTTGTTGCAGCCATTATTTTTAATGCAAATATTGCTGTACCCTTTTTGTTCTTATTTTCTTTTCATTGATGTTCCCCCCACTCCTACTTTTAGTTCAAATCTACACCAAGTAAGAATGTGTCAGTAGTGGGTTGGATGGTTATGATGGCTGATGATCCAGATCATCCGGATCTTTTCTTACTCACAGATTCTGAAAAAGGTCAGTAACATTAGTTACTAGTAGTAAATTCTTGATTTAATTGTCTTTAGAAATAATAAACACTGCAGTATTCACCTTCGTCCAAATTGGACATTAGCAGATTTTGCCCCCCAAATGGTCAAAGTCTGTTCAGCAAATCAGTCCAGAAAGTATTCAATGCTCTCCTCCAAATTGAAATTCAGTATTAACCCATTTTACTGATAATACTAAATTCAGTTTTGAAGAGGAACAATGAATATTGTCTGGATTTTTCATTTGTAGCTTGAACAATCATTTGGCATTTAAAGGATACCTCTTACCTGTTATTGGACATCAGTGGTTGTTATTAACTGTTAAAAGAAAATTAAACTTAACAGTTATGTTACATTCAACACCTCTTCCCTGCGATTATTTGTTAAATCAGTTATAGTCTTCGATTTTCATTTTAAGATAGTTCAAAATTATCACAGCTTCTGAAAAAAATGACTTATAACATTTATTTGCACTTATAACTGTCGCAGCACCCCCACTGTTACATGATTGCAATTCGGACACTTGACATCCGGCTCACATCCTGCTCATGTGTACGACCAGTTGCAACATCCTGCAGATATGTGATCATTATTTGTGTCCTTTGTTGCCAACTAAAAACGCCCATGTGATTCATTCAATCACTGTGATTTGCTTAATGTCCACCATAAAAATTGTCATAAAATCATTCCATTACAACCACCATGAATTACAATGGAAATTTCAGTCCCATTTTTTATCATAAATCAAGGATTCCTGTAGTTATATTAGTGTAATACAAAATACTTCAGGGTTTAATTGTATTATTGAGCTGTGATGTAGCAAAGTGAATGGGGCTCTAATTCTTGAAGATGGGACTAAAAAGAATTACATTAACCATTAATAGATATTTATTAATCTGTTGCTGGAAAGTCATTTCAATGTTTTAATCGAATTACCTTCTTTGAAAAGAAACATCTATCTTAAGTCCCCCATAGTTGTGGTGAAAGGAATTCAGAATGTAAGCAGTGTGAGGTTAGTTTTTAGTTTAATAAGCCATCTGACCTAAATGGTCAAAATGGAAAAATGCTGGAGCTTCTGGCCTGGAATATTATTATAGCAGCTCAGAAACTTTATATGCCAGGAAGATGAGTCTTAGGTGGATTTTGCCTTCTTAGCAGATAAGTGAGAAGTTATCTTATAAGTGAATAATTTGTGATGGAGATGACTTTATACTACAAATAAAATTGTACAAATAAAATAAATCTTCTAGGCTCATTCCATGAAACAAATATTGGACACATGTTTAAAATTTTATACTTTTCTCCAGTGGTGAAATGTAAAATTTGTTACTACCAGTTCTGTGGGTGTGGCTTGGTGGGAGGGAGTAATGTGACTGGGTGGGCATGGCCAACTTTTTTTTTTTTTACTTTTAAAAGCATTTTTTCGGCTGAAGAAAAAATGCTTTTAAAAGTATTTTAAAAAAAGCCTCTGATGATCGCGCGGCTCAGCTGGGCATGCGGAGGGGAGGGGGGCAGGGATTTTTGCTACCAGTTCTCCAAACCACCCGCCGCCATCGCTACCAGATCGCGCGATCCGGTCCAAACCGGGAGCATTTCACCCCTGCTTCTCTCTCAGAAAAAAATCTTGATTGGCTTTATGAGTACATATTTTATCATATATTAAAAATACTGGTAGTGCCTGTTGCTAGATATATATATTTGTATGATAGGTCAAAGAAATGGCTACAAGATTTGCTCCAGAAAGTTAGGGGACTCTGCCAAGGGGACTTTGACAGTGTTCAGGTGAAAATAACCAATAAATTCTGTCAGTGGAAGCATATGATTGAATTCCACACACTAGTGGTTTTGTTTTAGTGTTTAATTGACAGTACGAGATGGTTTTAATTTTTAATGGAAAATTCTTCATTTTGTCATTCAGGGAATTCATACAAGTTTCAAGCTGGTAACAGAATGAATGCAATGCTGTGGTTCAAGCATCTAAGTGCTGCTTGCCAAAGCAACAGACAACAGGTGAGAGAGCAAGAATTATGAAGTGATGCTTTAGTTGCCATTAAGACCTGAATATAAAGTGGTTCCTCACAAGATACAAAAAATGTGTGTATTGTTGTATTACTCTGTCCCAGCTCAATGGTGGTAGGGCTGGGTTGAGGGTTCTTTTGGATTAGCAAGCAATTGCACACTGCTTCCTTAAGAATCTCTGTTTGGATTCAGCTGTGTTTTACATCTATCATCCTGTCTCCATCCTTCCCTTTTGAGGGAAGACTGTTGAATGGTGGGAATTCAGCTGCCAAATGTCTTAGAAGCGGCTTCTAGGACTCTTTCAGTTTCAGTTTAAATCCAAGATACATATATTAGTCATTGTAATTTATTACCTTGTTGGGGACTAGATGAGTGACCACTCACCTCTTGGTCCTTTAGTTTCTTAACAGGCTTTGATACTATCAACCTATAGTATTCTAGACTACCTGTAAAGGGGGGTGGGGGATTGGAGGCATTGTTTCAGATTCTTATCTTTCCTGAATAGATAGTTCTAATCAATGATTGAGGAGGAAGAAAGGTCAATCCAGTGATTGCTTACATGGGATACAGCAAAGTTCAATGGGCTCTCCCCTTCATCTATATGAAACTCCTGGAAGAGATCATTCATTCATTTGTGGTACAGTAACATCTATATGCTGATGATACTGAGATTTATATTGCTACCCTGGGCTCATCAAGGGATCCCACTTCATCTAACTCCTGGAACATGTTTGGAATTGGGTGGAAACAAACAGATTATAGTTGAATCCATGCAAGACAAAGTTGCTATTTGTTCATTGCATTTCTCTTTTTGCTCTAGAGTTGTCTCTAGAGGGAGAAGCACTCGACTTGGAGTTCCTCTTGGCTACTGCTAGATTTACAGATGGAGGCTGTGGGCCTTTGCCCACTTTTGGTTATGTGCTGAAGCAGTAGAATCTAGCTAAAATAACATGCTTTTATGAACACTCATTTAGAGTTTTACAGTCTCTTCTATGTGGGCCATCTTTAGAGGACCCAGAAACTGCAGTTGTTGGCACTCAGTGCTACAGGCAAATTACATCTACATCACAAGCCTTAGGTTGGCTACAATAGGTTTCCAAGTGCAATTCAAATTGTGTGCTTTAACTTACAAACTTGCATGTAGGTACCTTCAGGACCATCTTCTTCAATCTGAAATGGACATCTCTAAAGTGAAGTGAGGGTAGATAAATCTTTCCTCTTCCTCTCCCTCCCCAAAAAATGAATCCATAATATTTTTTAGCCATGACAGCTGTCCCCTGGAAAGAAAACTGACTATATTGTTGTCTTTGGAGATTCTCAATCATCCAGATCACAGATGTCAAACTCTATTGCATCACATAACATCACATGACATATTGTGACTTTTTTGCCTTTGCAGAGCTGGAGTGGGTGTGGCTTGCGCATGATACATCCAGGGTGCCAGTTTGACACCCCTGATCCAGATCATGGCTAACCCAAAGGTGCTTTTTAGTCTAGTTGACTATTTTGTTGATGGCTTCCAAAAGTTTATTAAAATCAGCCTTTTTGGAAGCTGTTTGACGTTTAATAGGTTAATTCCATTTACATTTATTTTGTATATTCATTGTATCTAGTGAGGTGAATGTTTCATATTTATATTCCATTATCAGTGTTTTAATTTTTAATTGTTATAAGCCACCTAAAGTCTGGGAAGATTCAGATACCTAATAAATAAATAAATAATAATAATTTCCATTGTGACAAATGGCTCTGTGGGGAATAGAATAGTCCAAATGGAGCAAGCTTTGGACTCTCTTTTTGGAGATCTCTTCCACAGAATATTTGATAATAATAGTTCTGTGCAGGATGGATAGGATGATGCAGCTGGAGCAGTTTCTGAAATCATATTGACCTGATTGCCTCTTTTACTGTCTTAATTAAAAGAAGCATAATTGTAGGACTCCAAACAAAATCTCTCCCAACAGAAATATCCAGCTTCTGCCTAAATACATCCAGTAAAGGGGAATCTATTACCTCCATGGATAACTCTTTCCACTTTTGAATTGCCCTTATTATCAGGAATATTTTCCTAACATTCAACTAGAGTCTGCCTTCCTGTAATTTAAAATAGCTGTCTTGTGACCTGAATAATGGCATGATGGATAACAGGCTATGACTTTATGTGAAATATCCTAAAATACCTGAGTTTATTATATCCCCCTAATATTCTCTTAACAGTAAAACTATCAAGTTATCTCAGTCTCTCCTTAACGTAGTTTCCAGTCTACTGATTTTTGCTGCCTTTCTCTCTTATTTAAACAGAAAGTCCGTAACTAAACATTGTGTATAATTATCTGATTAGAATGGAACAGAATAGAACTATAATATCCTACTCTTTGGAAATAACCTTACTATATTGATGCAGCCTAAGATTATATTTCCTTTTTTGCGGCCACATCATCTCCTAGCATTCAACTTGTGATCTACTTAATTCGCAAAATTCCCTTTTTGCATATACTATTGCCAAGTATTCTCTATCCTATACATATATGTACATTTTATTTTTGAAAGGAATGTTACATTTCCATTTATTATTTTCAGTTTGACTCCTTAATCTCCCAAATTTACATCTGAAATATTCCCTCCAGTTTAATGATCTTCCAGATGATAATAAAAAAATGTCCCTGAATATCAAGTCCAGGATTGAATTCTGTGGCTTGATTTCTTCCATAGCCTGGCTGAGGAGCCTTTGAAGAGCAATTTGAGTATAGTTTTATGACAAACAAAATAAGAACCATTAGGTCTTCATTCAAGGGTTCTCTCATTCACCTCCCCTCTTTTGTGTACTAATGGAAAGAGATTAGAAGCATCTGTTTTTGGTTTTAACTATGAGAACTATAATTTGTTTTTAAAAGAGCAGTTTGAAAATAAGCAAGAACCAAAGGTTAGTTACCGATCTTGCCTAATTCTCAAGCTATTCTTGAAAAAAGTGTATTTCTATAAATTTAGTGCATTTGGAAGCAGCATATGAATCTCAATTTTGTCTCTATTTGATTGCATAACAGGAAACTAGGATTTTATTTCTAAACTTGAACCTAAGTTATACCTCTAATTTTCTTTACAAAATTATTTCTTCTGTTAATAGGTTCCTGCCAATTTAATGACTTTTGAGTGACCAGCTACTGCAGAATTTGATCCAAGAATTTGCTTCATCCACTTTTGAATGCTATTTCATGGTTTGAGAAGTCCTGTTGAAGGCATGCCAGCTATACTTCTGACTAGGAAGTTCTGAATAAAAGCACTAAGATTTCAGGGAATGGAATGTGACATGAACTACCGTGAGGCTTGCTGCTATTCAATATTCTCTGAACTGACTTGTGGAAACCACTGCCTTAAAGAATGAAAGGTTATCCAACATGAAACACCAAATTTGTGTGTGTGTGTGTGTGTGTGTAAAACCTCTGATGGTGCTGTGCTTAGGTTAAGTAGGTTGTAGCTAGTTTGTATTTGTGTTTACTTTGTTACATTTTAATTTTAAAGCCCTGCTTTTTTCAGCTTTTCTTGTTGTAAAAGGAGTATATCTGAAACTTAAGGGTGTTTCAAGGGGTGTTTGTGCAAGGGGATAGCCTGTGTTTTCTTGAAAAATATGCAGCTTATATCTGTGTCCCTCTGTATTAGCTCTTGTGCTCAGCTAATTGGGGACACAGTATAATTAGTTTAGCTTAGAATGTAACAACTGTAATATATGCAAATTTATCTTCTTTTTATAAAGCACTGACTTTGCAGAATTTGATACTACATGAGGTTTTTCTTTTCTGCAAGTGACCCAACAGCCAATATATTCATTCTTTTTTTTTTGAGAGAGAGAGAGAGAGAGAGAGAGAGAGAGAGAGAGAAAGATCTTGGTTGGTTCCTTGGTTTCAAGGAAGCTCTGGGAAACATCAGGAGGTCAGAACTGAGAATTTAATCTCAACATATTTTCAGACATAACACCCTCATTTCTCCAAGAAACAGTTTACGTACACATTGTATGCTTTTCCACAAGCAAGTTTACCCCTGAAAATCTTTATTGCTGCCTATTAAATATTGTTTTACAGATGAAAACCTTATATTTTCCTTTTTGTAGAAGAAGCACATGATTGGGATTATAAATTTTTCATTTCTGTTATATCAGAGCTGGAAACCATATCTCTGTAGAATAAATTTATTTGTGTATAGTTTGCAAAAGTCACCACCTACAAAATCAGAAAAATCTGCAAGTAAAAAGATAAGCCACTGGTGGGATTAATTACAAGTAGGTTTAGTTTAGTATAAGAAAAGATAGGTTGTCATTTCACATATTTCCTTTAAAAAACAGCCTACCACCACATGAGATAATTTGTAAAGAAACTCATGCTCTGAAATTTGTCTGTGTTACTATGATAGCATGATACTTTGAACTAGACAATTTCAGAGCCTTCACATGGTAATAATTTTGATCACAAGAAAACAAAGTCAGTTGGAATCAACTTCATCAGTGCTATAGCCCAATTAATAAGAATATGAATATATATATATATATGTATGTATGTATGTATGTATGTAGGTCTTTGGTTATTCGGGTCTTCCAATCAGAACACACCTCCACCCAATCAGAACACAGCCAAGTTCCCACCCAATCAGCTCACACCCCCACTAGCAGTTAAAAGGAAGAGACAGCTGCGATCTCACATTGCTCCTGGAAGCACGAAGCCGAGAACACCAGCCTGAAGATGACGAATTAGACTTCGTCGAAACGTCACCAAGACACTTCCAATTTTACGTGGGAGAAGACCCGAATAACCAAAGACCTACATACAAACACCCGCGAAAACCTGAGAATATATATATATACATACTGAAATTATAAAGAGTAACTCAAATTCATATGTGTGTAGAATGTCATTGGTTCATGTGTCTAAAGGATATGTTTTCTAAAAGGCTTTTTCCTGCTAGTAGGATAGGCAGAAATGGCAGCTGTCCACAGAAGGAAATAATAAGGTTGACATAAAACTTTTATGCAAAGTACAATGAAAAAAAAATGGGGACATTAAAATTATCCACTTTTAAAATCTGTTTCTTTGTTCCTGCCAAAAAGTTCACAATATATTTAAATTTTGGATTCTTGGGGAATTAATACTCAGTTCTGACCTTCTAGTGGTATTTGTTATAAAAGGAGACCTGCATGTTCTTGACTTGCTTAGTTTACACATCTGCCAATAAATGACACAGGATGTTTCATGGGAACATCTTTATAGCCAGCAGTATTACTATATAGAGTTTGCACAATTTAATTTCCACTTTTCAGAGTTTAAAAAAAGCATCCCATTTTTTAATGTTGTGGAATGAAATCCTGTGGAATTTGTTCTAAAAAAGTGCGGAAGAAGAAGAATTGTGTAGATAGACTTATCCAATTGATCACCATTCTTATGAGTAGAAAGATGCAACTGCAAACGACAACTTAATTAGGTATAGAGTTTTGAAAGAGAAAAGGTCAACTCATGCCAGTTTTTCATATGATGTCTAATATAGTTAGCTTTAGCATGTGGAATGAGTACTTTTGAACATTTACAATATTTGATTCAGATCACTGAACATCATACATATTTTCTGAGATACATCATTTTTGAAACTTATATAATATTGTCACAACTAATTCATTACGTCAAAATGTTTCTCAAAAGGAAATGGATGGTTTGGAAAGGGAGCACACACACAAAAGTAGGCACATGTATCAGCTCAAAACCAGGTTGGAAACTTGTTTTTGCCCAATAGACTAAAAACTAAAAACAGCAAAAAGTAGTAAAAATTTCAACTTAAATATAAATACATCTGTTTAAAAGCTTTACTTAGCCTATTTCCTGTAAATAGCAAATAGGAGTATTATACGTTTACAGCTTTTGGCTTTCTCATACACATTTTGCAGTTTTTGTATTTATTTGTTTTGATTTAATCTATTTGAAAATAACTTTCAAACCTTGAACCATTCCAGATTTTATGGTAATTTTAAAGGTTGCACTTGTAAAAAGATCTATTTAATTTCTAACAATTTGCTTCATTCATCAGTTAAATCTCAATAATGTAAAATTTTACAGTTCATACTATTAATAATATGCTTTAATAATAATTAAAATATGCATCAGAAAATCTAAATGCTGTTTGAGTATGAATGAAGCATTTTGTTTGGTAGTACAAGTTTCTTCTAAATAATTGAGCTAATACTATCAGGGATTGTTTTTATAATAATTAATAGAAAATAGAACGTTCCACTTTTACTATAACAAAAAACACTGGATTTTTGGTATATAAAGACATATTTCACTAAAATATATTTTAATATTTCATCTAAATACAAATCAAGTTGCAAGAAATGTTTAATTCTAAAAGGCAAGATCTGTTACAAGAAACACTAATCTGGTCGGTTCAACTGTAGAATGCCTTATATGTCTTCATTTCATACACGCACACACACACAGTGCTTTTTCATCTTGCATACTGTAAATGAAGAATCTCTATTGCATATGCCCAACTGAGCCTTAGTTAATCAACTTTCTAATTTCCTCTCATTTTTATAAAATGCAGGGGTCATGGGTTCTGAATATCTCACTACTCATTATTCTGAAAAGTTGATAGCAGTTTCTCAGATTTCAGTTGGCCCACATGAAGCTGGTTGAATAATACTGTCAGACTACTTTGTCAAATCTCAGCTGAGATGATTTTCCTTGTAATGAAATTGTAACTTGCACTGCTTCACGCACAAATGATCCACACACACTTTTCTATATACACTAAAGACATGGATGAAGCTGCTTTTCAGAACATATTAGATGAAATGAAAATTTCATCTAAATTGTATTTGAATCATAGAACGTTTACTCTAGATATTGTTATAGACATTCTATTTTCAAATAGGGTTAAGTGGGCTTTTTGGATTTCTTCCTAATTTTGTGGCATATTTCTATACCTTTGTGTCAGATCAACCAAATATGTGGCAAATTAGGTTTCCTTGTTATGCAAGCATCAAGTGGCTTAAGTTGCATCTTTCTTCCTCATATTTTTATGCGTATTGCTTTTTTCAGTTGTTAGCATTCTTAAATCTTAATTTTCTAATTTGGAATATTATATTTAATGAAAACTTGAAGACACTAAAATTTGAAGTAAAGAATCATTTTTACTTTCTCTGAAAAGTCTATCTGCCTAGGTTTGGGGAGTTTTGAGTCACTCTCTTTTCCCATTTAAAAATGGCCTTTATCCAACCTTAAAATTTACATTTAAAAATAAGACCCAAACAGAATATTCATTCAGAGGAGTGTAACATTTCCTGCTCATCATGAGATGAGCCTTTTATATCTGTATAAGATTTTTGCCAGTGCCTTAATTACCAGTTTGAAAGACCAAGGTGGCAGTCCACCAAGTATTATTTCTATGCATTCCACTACTCATGTAAATTAGGCTTTGCAGAAACTCCAATTAAATAACTGGAATTGTTCAGCCAGTAGAAAAGCTTAATTTTTCTTTGCTTATTTCTGTTTTGAAAGTCAAGCTTCATTTTTAGTAGACCCAGTAAAAAACCCTCATAATTGGAATAAGTTTCAGTTCATTGGTTTTATACAATGAATATATTGTGCATTTGTGAGCCAGTTCACACTTTTGCATAAACTCCTCTATATATGTCCTAGGCAACAGGACTAGGCAATGGATGCCTCAAGTATTCCTTCAGACCCTCCTCTCACCATCATCACCAATGCAAGATCTTGTCCTAGAAGTGCAAATTTCACTGAATCATTTAATTAATTTTGTAAAAATCCATTTTGAAACTGCAAGATAGAAACCAGTTTTTTAAGGATCAGTTTATACATGAGGAGTTAATATATTTCTTTCTAAACTGTATAATATCTGAATTTTGAGAAATAAATTTTCAGTAAGAAAATTTAAATTCTGAAGGCCATGACTATTAGCCCTCTAGGTTAAATTTTTCCACATATATGATAGAGGAGAACTGAACAACAGGATTTATAATTGAATGCAACTTAAATAGCAAGAGTTAAGTCTTTTGCAAAGATACTGGACCATACACAGACTATAGTGAAGAGTATGAAAGTATATTATAGTCTAAGATTTTTCACAACTTTCTGAAACAAAGCTGCAGACATATCAACATGTTTCTTGAGTTCGGGTGTCATTGAAAATCTAAAATGAAATGTGTCCAAAGCCTCTTTTTTGCAGTGGACAAATCGGCACCTTCTTTCCCTGAAAAAAATATTTATTTTTATTACTATTTAATGGGCTTACTTTACCATAAACGTATTAGAAGATGTGGAAAAGGGGGATTTTAGTGAAATCTTGTCTTTTTATATCTCTTAATAATAACATAATTTATAGTTATTCATATCCTTAAGAACTTCACATATGTAAAAACATGCAAAGTCTACATTATGCTACACACAAGCCATTTTAGTATATTTTCCTCCATTTGACCTCAAACACTATTTTGATGGAGGTAAATGCACTATGACCTCTATGAGTGATGTGCAGTTTAGCTGTTCCTTGTCCTTTTTTCCTAGTTTTTTTAAATATTTTACCACGTGTGTATGTTTGAACTGTGTGTTTACATAAGCTGTTTCAAGATAGCTTAATGTATGAACTTAAAATGGATTTTTTCCTACTGAAATAAATTACTTAAAATTTGGTTTCTGTGCATTGTTTTTTGCATAATCATACTGTGTTGCAGCAGATCTTAAAGATGGAGCCATATTTTCTCAAATGGCATGACATGTCTGATCAACTGGAATTTGGCTGTCATGTGGTAGTTTTCAGAACAGTGGAAAGTAATATGGAAGTATAATATTGCCAATTGTTGAAGAAAAAAAGTATTCTTATTTATAACAATGCACTTTAAAACTTGGCATGTATAATAGTATGGTTGAAAAAGTCTATAAAATCCTACTGAAAGGATTTTATAGACTGAAAGCCATAAAATCTGAAAACTCTGGAAGCAAGATTTTAAGAGTGTGATTTTGGGATATTTGAACAACGGCAGAGTAGTGTTTCGAAAAGGATAGATAGAGTTCAGAGAAGCTACAAGAGTCTTTCAACAAAGCATTCTTCCAAGAAGGGGTTTCAGTGATCATAGCAACCCACTGTATTAATCCCAGACTGTATTTATTCAGAATGTTTATACCCTGTGTATCCAGTTTGAAAGGACTCTGCAACAAAAAGAAGTCCACCAACAAAAGGAGTTTTTTAAAAAAGAGATTGTATTTAAAAACTACTCTAAATAGAATCTTAATTTAATATGGTTATCCCCTAAGAACTCTTGTTGAGAACAAAAGAGATATTCCTTTAGTTCCAAATAATCATCAAGAACAGCCCCAAGAAATTACTATTATACTATTCTAAATCAGGGGTGTGGGGAGGATGTATGTGTTTGTGCCCTGGATCCAATTATCAGTTTATACCATTGCCAAGTAACATTTTCTTTCATATATACCACATCTTGAAAAAACATGTACAGTAGAAGCCCTGGTCACGAACGCTTCTGACCACAACCAAATCGGGTTCTGACCAAAAAATTCACTTTTTTTCCCCACAGCCAATTTCCCCTTCCGCCCCATTTTTTTGGTAAGCACCAAATTTCCAAAATTAGGTTCAGGTCACGACCAAATTGGTTTGCGACCAAAGTTATGGAACGAATTATGGTCATGACCAGAGGTTCTACTGTATGTTTCTATGAGTTATAACTAACAACTGTCCAGATTTCAATAGTGTTTCAAAGAGTTTGTTGGTCACAGATTTGGTGGAACTTGTGAAACAGGTTGTTGAAGATCTACTAGCTACCGATAAAGGAGAATATTTGTAGCTCAGGGTTGAAATGAGGAATCTTTGATACTCTCTGAGTTTGGTTGTTTTCATTACCCAAACTGGTAATATCAGCACTGATGATGTTACTTAGTTTGGGTAGTGAAACATCTTCAAGAAAGCAACCAAATTCAGAAAGCACCAAGGGCCCCTCCTCTACTAGCTATTTAATAATATATTTAAACAATTTATGTGATAGTTAATCTCAGAAATGTGAGTCTGGGAAGATAATAGCACACTAAAACAATAAAAACATTAGCAAAAATTAAAAAATAACAGTGATCCCAAGGATAAACTCAGCAAGACAATAATTAGACATCAATCAATAGGCCATCTAAATCTCCAACCCTGGAACAATCCAGGTATTTAGTGCTTTTCAGAAGGCCAGCAGGGTCAGATCCAGTGTTCCAGAAGGTAGGTACTGCAAGAGGCACACTTCCAAAATCCCATAAACTGACATTTTCAATTGAAAGGACTCACAGCATGCCTCTTTTGTTGGACCTAGTGAGACATATAGAAACAACCAGGGAGAGGCAGTTTGTAAATAACTTGGCCCTGTGCCATGGAAGGCTTTCTAGGACCAGCATTTTGAATTCCATCTGGAAGCCTGTACAGCTCCCTGAGTAAGGTTAACGTGGAAGTACCAAGGTGCACCCGTAACTACCTGCACTGCCACATTCTACCCAGCTACAGTTTCCAGATGGTCTTCAAAGGCAGATCCATGTAGAGTGCCTTGCAGAAATCCACTCCCAAGTTGACCTACACAACTCTTATTACTAAGGGGTTGATGGAAATTTATTAGCGTTTCATGTTTTTAATTGTCAAGGTAGATGATTTATTAAGTAAAGTCTCTTTGGTTTCTGAGCCATTGGTGTGTTCACATTTTACACATTGTTTGCATTGTTGGTGCAGCACAAGAGTTTCAGCTGTGATAATGCTCTCAGGTGCTTCTCAGTCACGGAGGAAACGCCGGTCACTAAAGGGTTACAACCTAGCCAGTAGCTCTAGGACCGAGTCCACCAACAAAAGAAGCCCCGCCTCTTCCTGTATCCAGTTTTTCAACTCGGTCCGGTAGAGGACAGTCGTGTCTGTTAGTTCTCTCTCATTAACTCTTCGTGGGGGAGTTTATTTGGCCATTGCTGGCTTATTTCTACTTAGTTTGCTCATTTCTGCTCAAATTACTGGCGTTTTCTTCAAAAGCGGCTAAACTTAATTGGAATCAGCTGGGGAGCGCTAGAAACGCTCCGGCGGCCCTGAGCAGCCCCGCGGCAGCACCCACGTGCGTTTTGCACCGCCGCTACTATTTGCAGCTCTTTCAGAGGATTTTGAGGCTTTTGGAGAGGTTTCCCTGCCTCCTGCTGCTGTTTAGAGAATTGTGGCTGCAGATTTCTGGCGCGAAGGCTTTTCCGCGCCCAATTTTGCCGCGCTTTTAAGCCCTTTGGCTAGGGGCCATTTCCTGCCTCCTGAGTAATCTTCCTAGCTCCTAGATTCTACTCTGCTTCTCTCCTGACGCAGTGAGTTACCTGAACCACCAATTATCCCGTGTGGGTGCATTTAAGGGTGATTTCTATCCTTTGCATTTATTCTGAGCTGTAAAAGTAAATTTCTGCTCTAACATGGCTGATGCTAGGAGCAATAAATCCCAAAGCAAAGGAAAAAGGGGCCATTCTTCTGATCCTAAAGAAAGTTCCTCAGGGGATCCTGTTCCTCCCAAGGCAGCCAGAGTTTCTACTAGATCCACTCACTCCAAGAGTGCTAATATTGCTGCATCATCAAGAGAAGAGACCAGGAGGCATAAGGCCATGGAAAAGGCCTTTCAAAAAGCTGCTTCAGAGGCCTCTAGAGTTTCATCTCCTTCTGTGGGGCCTTCTAAATCTCCTGCCCTCCCCACTTCCAATGTGGCTGTTCCTTCTTCCCAAATTCAAATTGAACATGATTTTTCTCCTGATCAGTCTACTCTGGGTGAGAATGTGGCTGCTGATGCTTCTTCAGTTTTTCCTGCTGCTAGGCCTCTATCTCCAATTGTTTCTATTCAGGCCCCCCCAAGGCAAGAATATCCTGTGGCTCAAGCCCAATCCAGCATTCAGGGGGCTGAGGCTCCTGTGAGTTTAACTCCTGCCCTAGCTGAACTTATTTCTGTTTCAATTAGGCAGGGTATTCATGAAGGCCTTCAGCAAAGGGCCTCTTCTGAGGCCTCCAGTTATGTGAGTCAGCAGAGTCGTTCTGTGAGGGCCCAGGCCGTTGCTGATCCTGTGCTATGTGAAGAAAGGGCGGCTTCCCCGGAAAATGCAAGTCAAGGTTCCCTGTCTGAGGGGAAAATTGCCCCTGATCAAGATCTCTCGGATGATGAAGGTCTAGAACCAGACCAGCCTTCCTTCATTGGTCTTTTCAAGCCTCAATTATTCAGATCCCTTTTATTTAAAGCTCAAAATGTTACTGGCCTGGGAATTTCTTCTACTCCTTCCTCTCAAGGGGCTTCTACATCCTCTTCTCAGCCCTCAGCAAGAGGGCTTCATCATTATTATTTCAGGAATTTTCCATTCGTGCAGAGGTCGTTCCAGCTCCCAAGCTGTTTTCTGATGTCGTTCAAAGACAGTGGTCTCCTAGTTCTGGCCCGGTTCCCAATGGTCTAGATAAAAGATTTTATAATATGGCATCTGATTTTGCTAATATTCTTCAAGTTCCTTCTGTAGATGCTCCGGTTGTCGCCCTCTCTTCTGCATCTCCTCTTACTGGTCCGTCAGAGGAATTCCTGCGCCCTGAAGATAAGAAGTTTGAACGCTCCTTGGTCAAGGACCACCAGGCCTCAGCTTGGTCCATTCAGGCCTCCTTGGCCGCTTCCTTTTTTAACAGGGCCTCCATCCTTTGGCTTCACCAACTACAGGAAAGGCTGCCTCCTTCTGATATGCGATCTCACCAGGACATCAACAAGATCCTAACTGCTGTTGAGTTCTCTGCTAATGCTACTCTGAATGCGGCAAGGTTTTCAGCTAAGGCTATCGGGGCTTCAGTCACTTCTCATAGGCTTCTGTGGCTTCGTCAGTGGCAGGCAGATGTTCGGAACAAGTGGAGACTGGCATCAGCTCCTTTCTCGGGGAACAATCTCTTCGGCCTAGCCTTGGATCCACTCCTCATCGAGACGAAGGATCATCGCAAGATTCTGCCCGCCTTATCGAGAAGATCTGATCCTCGTCAGCAGGGTTCCTTTCGAAGCCATTCCTTTCGCTCCGACTTCTCTTCCTTCCAGTCCAGGCCTCAGCGGTACTCTCAGCCCAGGGGCGGACAACAGCAGGATTTCCAGGTCAGGCAGGGGTCCCATTTCCCTCCCCGCAGACCCTTCAGGGGGGGTAGGGGGCGTCCCTTTCGCAGATCCCGTTAGTTCTCCTTTACCTATCCCTGACTCCTTAATTGGAGGTAGGTTAGCATTTTTTGCTGACCAATGGGATTGTTCAGTTTCAGACCCCTGGATTAGACGTACTATTAGGTTTAGGTTGACCCTTGAGTTCTCTTCTGTTCCTCCTGACTTGTTTGTCAGGTGCCCTGTCTCACATGTCAGGTCCAAGAGGGTTCTGCTAGATGAGGCTATTCAACATCTTTTGGAGATTAGGGCTGTTCAATGTGTTCCCCTAGGGGAAGTTGGCCAGGGATTTTATTCCCGTTTGTTTCTAGTTCCCAAGGCTTCAGGAGGCTGGAGGGCCATATTGGATCTTAAATCCTTGAACCGATATATAGTCTATCGTCGGTTCAAGATGGAATCCCTCCAGACCATTCTCCTTTCTATCCGTCCAGGTGATTTTTTGTCTTCCATCGACTTGACGGAGGCTTATCTCCATGTGCCCATTTTTCTGGACCATCGGAAATACCTCCGTTTTTGTTATCGGGGTAGGCATTATCAGTATAGAGCCCTTCCCTTTGGCCTTTCCTCAGCTCCTAGGGTCTTTACAAAGATCATGGCTGCCTTATCGGGCCATATGAGATCTTTTCCTGTTAGAGTTTTGTTTTATCTAGATTATATTCTTATGTTGTCTAATTCTGAGGTTAGGGGTAATGAGGATATTCAGGTCACTCTTCAGACCCTGCAATCCCATGGTTTTTTGGTTAATCGTTCTAAAAGCAACCTAGTTCCCTCCACGTGCATTCAGCATTTAGGGGCTGTTATTGATTCTGTCAGGTTGCAGGTTTCCCTTTCTCAGGATCGTCAGGACAGCACTGTTGAGTTGGTAGGTCAGGTTAAGGCCTCTCGCTCTTTTTCCCTCCTGGGGCTTTCCCGCTTGCTAGGGAAAATGGTTTCTGCCTTCGGGATCACTCCTTGGTCTCGGTTTCATAGCCGGGAACTTCAATGGTTTTTACTTCCGTTTCAACGGTCTCGCAGGAGCACGTCAGAGGCCAGAGTCCCCTTGACTCCTCAAGTTCTCCGGTCCTTGGCATGGTGGACCTCTCCGGCTCTTGCTCAGGGATGCCTGTTCAGAGTGCCTCAGCGCGTGAGCATCACCACGGACGCGAGCCTCTTCGGATGAGGGGCTCACCTGGGGTCTCAGATGGCCCAAGGGCAGTGGTCGGTCCAGGAGAGGGGACTTCACATCAACATCTTGGAGCTCAGAGCCATCTTCCAAGCTCTTCGCAAGTTCCCTCCTCTCCTTCGAGATCTGGATGTCTTGATCAGAACAGACAACGTAGCTGCCAAGGCCCACATCAACCGGCAAGGAGGGACCCGCTCCAAGGCTCTCATGAGGGAGGCATCTCGTCTCTTCAGGTGGGCGGAGAGTCACTTGGCATCCATTCACGCCTCTCACATCTCAGGGTCAGCAAATGTTCAGGCAGACGCTTTCAGTCGCTCGGTGGTGGACAGACGGAGTGGAGCCTTGATCCACTTCTGTTCCAGGACATCGTGCATCGCTTCGGCCTTCCAGCAGTGGACCTCTTTGCGTCCGAATCCAACCACCAGCTTCCGAGGTTTTACACGAGATTTCCTGTCCCGGGAGCCAAAGCTGTGGACGCCTTGATCAGCCCGTGGCCTTGTGGTCTTCTTCTCTATGCTTTCCCACCTCTTCCCCTCATCTCCAGGGTCATCAGGAAGCTGTTGCAGGAACAAGCCGAGCTCATCCTTCTGGCTCCCTTCTGGCCCAGACAACCGTGGTTTGCAGATCTGATGGCTCTCTCTGTTGCTCCCCATTGGCAGATCCCGGCCGACAAAATATCTCTGTGGCAGAGCCGTCTAGCTCATCCAGACCCTCAGTGGCTCCGGCTGACCGTCGGAGGTTGAGCGGTTCCTCCTGTCCTCAGCCAGGGTGCCTTCAGAAATAATTTCTATGATCCAGCCTCTCATCGAGGATCAACAAACCGTATTTACAATGCCACTTGGATGGCCTTCTCTGCCTGGTGTCACCGTAAGAAGGTCCTTCCTACTGCTACTTCCATTCTTGACATCCTGGGCTTCCTTCAAGATGGCTTCAAATCGGGGCTGTCTCCCAATATCCTCCAGAGGCAAATCTCTGCCATCTCATCTATCCTCACCTGCAGCACCGCTGAGTCTGTGTCCACTCATCCTCTCATCTGTTCATTCCTCAGAGGCGCGGCCAATCTACGTCCTCCGGCTGTTCATCGGTTTCCCACCTGGGACCTGAATAAGGTTCTGTTAGCTCTTACTGGTCCTCCTTTTGAACCTCTCCGGGAAGTCTCGCTGAAGTTCTTGTCTTTTAAGGCAGCCTTTCTAGTGGCTATCACCTCGGCTAGGAGGATCTCGGAGTTGGCTGCCCTCTCAGTTCGCCAGGATCTCTGTATTATTCATGCTGATCGAGTAGTTTTGAGATTGGATCCAGCTTTTATTCCAAAGATCAATTCAGCTTTTCATCGTTCTCAAGAGATCATTCTTCCCAACTTCTGTCCTTCCCCCCCGTCATCGCTTGGAGAAGGTGTGGCACAAGCTTGATGTTCGTCGGGCTCTCAAGATTTATATCTCCAGGACTTCTTCCTTTCGTCGCTCCGAGGCTCTCTTTGTGTCTTTCCAACCCCAGTCCATGGGGTCAAAGGTTTCTTCTACTACCTTGGGTTGATGGCTCAGGGCTTCCATTTCTTTTGCTTACGAAGCTCAATCATTGCCAGTGCCTCGTGGTGTTACAGCCTACTCTACCAGGAGCGCGGCTACTTCGACTGCCTGGTCTACCCAAGCTTCACTCGAGGAGGTCTGCCGAGCCGCTACTTGGACGTCTCCATCTCCATTTATCCGGCATTACCGGTTGGATGTTTATGCATCGGCGGAAGCCTCCTTTGGAAGACGTGTGCTGCAGCGGGTTTCTTCCCAGGACCAGGAGAGGCGCCAGCCTTCTCCCTCCCAATAGGTACATGGGCTTTGGTATATCCCTTTAGTGACCGGCGTTTCCTCCGTGACTGAGAATGAGCATTGGTCTTACCTGATACGCCACTTCTAGTCACTAGGAAACGCCGGTCACCCCCTCCCAATTGGTCCGGCACCTCTCGTGCTGGCTTTTGGCTGTTGACGGAGGGGGGTGGGTCCTGGGGTTTTTTTACCTTTCCTTTATTTTTTACAGACACGACAGTCTACCTTTCGTCCTTGTCTCAAACTGGATACAGGAAGAGGTGGGGCTTCTTTTGTTGGTGGACTCAGTCCTAGAGCTACTGGCTAGGTTGTAACCCTTTAGTGACCGGTGTTTCCTAGTGACTAGAAGTGGCGTATCAGGTAAGACCAACACTCAATCACTACCTTGTGCATAATTACAGAGGTAAAATTTGAAAGACCATATTTGCTATATATTATGAGAGCATGGAGAATGTGGAAGACATGGAAAAATCACCATTCTGTTCAGATTCTGGGGAGTGTTTTATATAGTGAAATTTTCACCTGTGAATTAGCACAAATTTTAAATAAAATATTTACACAGTTATTCCTATCTATTAGTTATTGAACTCAAAAATAAATGACACTGGTCCATTGAAGGAAGGGAAGTAAATAGAAAAAAACTTGCTGCCTACAAATAAGTTGAAGGACAAGGAGGAAATGGAGAAAAAATGTCTATAAAGCGATTGGAAGAACTTTATACAGGTAGTTCTTAACTTACAACCCCAATTGAACCCCAAATTTCTGTTGCTAAGCAAGACATTCGTTAAGTGAGTTTTCCCCATTTAATGACCTGTCTTGGCACAGTTGTTAAATGAATCACTGCAGTTGTTAAATTAATAACATGTTTGTTAAGTGAACCTGGCTTTCTCATTGGCTTTGCTTGTCAGAAGGTTACAAAAGGTGATAACATGACCCCAGGACACTGCAACTGTCATAAATATGAACTAGTTGTCAAGCATCCGAATTTTGATCACATGGCTATGGGAATGCTACAACGTAAGTGTGAAAAAGGGTCATGAGTTGTTTATTTCAGTTCTGTTGTAACCTCGAATGATCACTAAACAAATGGTTGTAAGTCAAGGGCTACCTGGATATAAGATAATAGAAATGATAGATACTAATGTAACTCTGGAATATTCACAATACACAATAGATACGCTGTTTCATTTATGAATAAATCAAACAAAATATTTGGCCACTTCCGGTTTGGCAACGCAGCAAGACAGTTGGGGAAATAGTGGGCTCTGATGAGTCCCGCGAAAACCCGGCTGCCGAACCGCCACCGATGGGTCTTTGGACCGAACCCATCTTGCAGAGACGGGGGAAGAAGAGAGGCGCCTCGGATGACCAAGAGAAACAGGCAAGTTTCTCGGAGGTCGGAGGGAACCCTCTCTGAATCGGCGGGGGGTGGCAGCCATGGCGGCTGCCACGAAGCTGGGACAACCAGGCAAGAAAAGTGCTGGAGGAAAGCGGAGAAAAATGGAGCTCTTTGAAGCCGGGTGAGTGACAACAGCCCAGGCTTGCAACAACGTTTGGAGCATTACTAATAATTAGAAGACCCCTAGCCTAAAACAGCGGCTATGCAACAAAGGGGCTTTGGAAAAAATTTTAAAACTACAACTTTAAAGAGACAAAGACCCGGGAAACAACTAATTTTGAAACAGAACTAAGAGAATTAATCTGGAGATATGGTTAAAAGACTAAACACTTTAAAATTTGAATTGGATTTGGATTTTAAAAAGCAAAAAGAAGATTTGATACTTTTTTAATTAAAAGAAGAAGAAATAAATTGGATGGTTATATAATAATAAATAAAATTGAGTCTTGCATGACTAATGGAAAATATGGATTATAGAGAGACACCATCTGGCGTAAAGAGGAACTTTATAACTTCCCTTTGTTATGGGAAACTCTGAGCTTTACAGATAAAAATTACTGAACTCTGTGGAGGAGGATTTTTCTTTCCTGTATGCAGGCGGCTTGATTATGGTGAAAAGAAAAGAAATCTACAATGGAACTCCTACAGTTGAAATAATAATAACTTAAATGCTGGCGCGGGAATAGAAGAAGGATTAAACGCAGCCTCAAAAGAAAAAGATTTGATACATCATATCCGGAATAAAAATAAGAAAAGAGAATTAATTTGATTTATGGAGAACAAAATTAAAAACTTGGAAAATGGAAGGAAATATATGTTTGTAGGTGAGAAAATGAAGATAATGTGATTAGAAATAAAGTAAAGATGGATTGTAATAATAAAAGGGAGATTTTTATAGAAATTAAGAATGTTAAAAGAAATTAATTAATACATGTAAAGATATGCTTGATGCAAGAACTATGCTTTAACGTTAAAATGTTAAGGAAAAGAATAAGGATAAATATGATTAATTGAAAATGTTAAAAGGAATTTATAAATTTATCTATTTATAAAGATATGTTCTAAGCAAGAACCATGTCTCAATGTTAAAATGTCATGAATGTCAAGAAAAAGGATACAGAAAAATAAGATTATGTGAAAAAGCAATGCATAGATGGATGGAAACAACATAGAAAGGTTTAAGTAGAGATTGATAGTTAAACCAGTTATGAATATGCTGTGTTTAACAGCCAAAAAGTTATAATATGCATCAGATAGTCTGGGTTCTTCATGCAGAAACAGCACAATTTGCTAAACAAGAACTGACTGGTTTGTCACAGTTGTTTTGACAACCAAAATTATGACACCTTCTTTTCTTCTCTACTGACTTATGCCAGAGATCAGGGCTGGAATTTCACAAAGTGGCTTATTAAGATTGACAATATGCTAGATGGACTAAAAAGTTGTGTATGATAATGTCTAAATGAGTGCATAAACTTTCACACTCAACCTTTGTCCCATTTGTCTCAATCAGACACTGCCAGCTTTTTAGACAGAGCTACCATGCCTGTGGGTTCTTGCATTTTTGAAATTTTGCCTGATTCAAATATTAAATGGCCTATTGGTCTCATCTCAAAGAATCTCACTACTAGTGGCTAGTTTTTATTTACTATACAAATCAATTTTTTCATTACAGGTCAGTGAAACACAAACTTAGACTTACTAAATAAAACCTACAGAATAGTCTAAGCACAGATACTCATACACACACACTTATTCATGCTTACTCTGTTTTGCTATCAACAATGTGCAAGTTTTAGAAGCTGCAAAAACAAACTTTGCAGCGGTGAATTATCGTAGCATCCTTATGTCCAAGAAAAATTGAATATAAAATTCAATTCATCCTGGAAATGAGGTTAGAAGAGATATTAATAGTTCTTTACAAGAGTTTAGGAGGTCGTTTTTTAGTATTACTATTTTTCTATGTACAGAGTCTTACAAAATTTTCCATGCAACTGTGCTGATAGTATAATATTGAACCATAATTATATAGCTGACCAATGTTGCATTGAAATCTGCATTGCTATGGCCATAAGTGAGAATTTTCTCTCATGCTTATGCTATTCTGATTGTAATTTTATATTAAGGATAATCTGTTGGGAGAATGAAGAACAACCTTCTATCCTCTTTCTCAATATAATTAACTTTTTGTGACTTCTTTGAAAATCCTACTTAGCTATAGAACTTTTATCCTGAAATTGAGCAGTGTGTCTTTGTCAACCTTTTTTGGGGGGAGGGGGGAGCTATGCGATGGCTCTTAATGAAAAGCAGTGCAAACACCCTATTAGAATAGTACTGATAAAACATCTCACAGATCACCATCATTCCATTTCACAGTATCCCTTCTGCAGACCATTTTCACAGAAAATAAAAGTGTTTCACGGGCTGATAACTGACACAAACAAGGAAGAGCTGTTAGTAAATTAAGCCATTTGGCCCTCCATCTAGGCAGGGTAGCATGCCCTGAAATATTTCATATAGCGAGGAGGGGGGGGAAAAAGACATATTTGTCAGGCAGCAGAAGGAACGGGGCCTGACAAGAGTGGCTAGCGTTGTTTGTTTATTGCATTATCCACATATTACATATGACAGAGCAAAGGCAAAAGGAACAGTAGTTTGGCCAAGAGACACACGAGCTACTGATTAAAACAAAACACTCTGCCATTTCCAAAGACTTAGTCATCTAATTACACTGCCAATCAGTGACATGCCATTAAAAGTAGGGGCTTAAATTAAAGCAGTGATGCTTGGCTCAGTCAATGTACCTTTTGGATGCCACGCAGCATGAGAAAGATTAATACTCATAACTGAAGTTTTAGCTCCTGGGTTGGGGATCAACATAACACTTTGTGAAGAAGAAATGTATTAATTACTGGATGAGCCATGGAAGTCTGGTACCTATTAAAACAAGTTTGCTGCCATGGAAGCCAGAAAACATTTCCTAAACAATGCTTTGCTTAAATCAAGCTGCTTGTGCTGCTATTCTTTTATCTGCCAAAGATACATAAGGATTGTCAGAACCCGACAATTTGCTGGCCTCCAGTTTAGCATCAGTATCAGTTCAGAGCCAGTTGGATCTAGTGGTTAAAGCTCCAGGCTAGAAACTGGGAGACCGTGAGTTCTAGTCCCGCCTTAGGCACAAAAGCCAGCTTGGTGACTTTGGGCCAGTCACTCTCTCTTAGCCAAATCACCTCACAGTGTAGTTATTGTTGTGGGGACAGTAAGAGAAGGAGGAGGAAGCATTAGGCAGCTTAGATAACTTTTGTTATTTACAAAAATAATAAATGCAGGATATAAATAACATTTTTAATAATATGTGAATAAATCTGAGGGTGTTCCCCTTGTCATTCTTCAGTGTCTGTGAATGTCCATTAGTTTGTGGTACCTGCATTCAACTAATTGTCAAAGAATAACTATTAGGAAAGTTGAAGATGGTATTAAAATTGACTTTGTTTCCTATATTATACCCATCAACTCTTTCCAGTCCAACATTTTACAACAGCTTTTGGAATAGTCCAATACTTTAACCAAGAATGAAATATAAAGGTGTATATATTACTGGCAGCAATTTCTCCAAGCGTTGTCATACACAAGCTTTGTTTAGGTGTTGGTTGTTGATTTAGAAAGTGGAAGAATAAAGCTCTGAAAAATTTTCTGTCAAGAACACCCAACGGAATAAAGATCTCTCTGTAGGTCCCTGCTGAGTGTTACCTTTGGAGGCTTACCTTTAGCAACCTAGTTCTTTCTAAAGGAAGTTTATTGACTTCTTGCAGATATGAGGGGAGAGAGGGGAGCCTGCCAGGATGGTAAGGAATAGACAAGAACATCAGGGAAGAAGTGGTGAAGAGAGGGAAATAGAGGAATGAAGAGATATGGCAACAATGGGGAGTAAGAAATGGTGATTGGGGTTGGGGTTGGTACAGAGAGCCTATAGGCAACTCAAATGAGGTGACAGCCAGGAAAAGGAATACATCCATTTTCTTCTACATATTTCCATGTACAGGTAGCCCTCATCTTGCAACCATCCATTTAGTGACCACTTGAAATTCAATGGCACTGAGAAAGTGACTTATGACTGTTTTTTGACCTTTGCAGCATCCCCATGGTCACATAATCAAAATTGGATGTTTGGCAACCAGCATGCATTTATTATGACTGCAGTGTCACGGGGTCATGTAATTACCTTTTGCGACCTTCTGAAAAGCAAAATCAATAGGGAATCCAGATTCTGTTAACAACTATATTACTAACTTAACTGCAGTGATTCTGTGACTGTGGCAAAAAGAAAAGATCATACAATGGGACAAAACTCACTAAACAACTGTCTTGCCTAGCAACAGAAATGTTGGGCTCAATTGTGGTAATAGGTGGAGGACTATCTGTAACCCACTGATCAGCTGTTCAAGACTGCATTCACTTGGAGTACAAAGTGGAGGGAAGAGATTTCACAATCACCCTTCCCTTCTCCCCCCAGAAAGAAAGTGTTACTGCATTCCTCATTGCTATCCATATTGACCTCTTTTGCTGGGGATAAAATAGGAGCCTCATAGTCTTTTCCTCCCAGAGAAATTGTATAGAATATATATAGAATAGACAGAATAGACATTGGGACAAATAAGAAGGTCACAAAAGACCTATCTCAACCCTCACATACTATTCATACCCCCAGCAGGGCACTCATTGTATGTTGAATCTAGCATGACGGCAGTGCAGCCAAGTTTTTGCTTTTTTAATCAGACAATATTGAGACCGACATCTAAGCAAATATTATTTTTAATTTTTTATACACAATATGTTTCATTGACCATATTCCTAGTGCAAGTCATGTGATGACTGCCCCACAAAATGGAACTCACTGGTGCTTAAGAGCACCCTGGATTTGAAGTCTCTGCTTAGTTGTCAGGTTTTCCCTTTTCGCTATTTTTTATTTAGTGTATGGTATATCATACATGGACTAGCACAGTGTGGGATTCTGCTGGTTCTAGGCGGTTCGGCTGAACCGTTTGTTAAACTGCTGGCTCACCCCGCCCCTCGCCCAGCCCCTCTGCACCACTATTTATTGCCAATAAATAGTGGTGGGAGAGGGTCAGGTGAGCCAGCAATTTAACAAACGGTTCGGTGTTTTTTTGTAATTTTATTGGCCTCGCACCACACTGAACCGTTTGTTAAATTGCTGGCCCGTCCACCTCTTGCCCCACCCCGCCTCCCACCCGCGCAGCGCCAACCTACCCTAGCCAGGAGTGGGCAATTGTGGCTCTTTTACAACCTGTGGACTTCAACTTCCAGAATTCCTGAGACAGTTTGGCTGTCTCAGGAATTCTGGGAGTTGAAATCCATAGGTTGTAAAAGAGCCACAATTGCCCACCCCTTCCCTAGCCCATCCAGTTGCTGGGGGAGACACGCGACTTTTCTCTGCCATGGAACACTGGCTGCCCAGGCTGCAGCTGAAGCTCCGGATCGTAATGGGCTCCAGGAGGAGGAGGGGCGCCGTCTGCCCCATTGTGAAGCTCAGAAAGAGTAACAAGAGCCGGCTGCAGGCACACACGCAGTGGGGCGCAGCCTTAAGGTGCCTC